GCATATCCCCGATTCAAAATGAGGCCCTCATTGTCCTTCCATCAAAGAGTAAAATAAACGCTGCCCTCTTCTCCATCCACCCTGACAAAGCTCCTGGACCGGACGGCTTCCCTGCAAGCTTTTTTCAAAAAAATTGGTTAACGGTGGGAGATAAAATCACTGAGGAAATTCAGTCCTTCTTCACTTCTGGCCGATTCTTTGGATCTACCAACCTCACTCACGTTCGGCTAATCCCGAAAGTCCAAAGTCCCAAAACGGTGGTTGAGTTCCGACCTATTGCTCTTTGCAATGTTTACTACAAATTTGTCTCTAAAATCCTTACTCGTCGGCTACAACCACTTCTGGAGGGTATCATCTCTGAATCCCAGTCAGCCTTTGTCCCTGGAAGATCCATTTCGGACAATGTATTGCTCACTCACGAAATCCTGCACTACCTGAAAGGATCAAAAGCAACGAAACACTGTGCAATGGCCATTAAGACCGATATGAGTAAAGTCTATGATAGGCTGGAATGGAGTTTCATAGTTGCGGTTTTAGAGAGACTAGGTTTCCACCGGAAATGGATAAACTGGATTTTCCAGTGTATATCCACGGTTTCCTACGCTTACCTCGTCAATGGCTCAGCCCAAGGTCTGGTTCTTCCCCAACGCGGCATCAAGCAGGGGGATCCGTTATCCCCTTTCATCTTCATTTTATACGGAGAGGTCCTCTCTGGTATGTGTGCAAAAGCTCAATCAAATGGCAAGCTCCCAGGCATCCGTATTTCTAGAAGAAGCCCGCTCCTGAACCATATGCTGTTCGCTGATGACATGATGCTCTTCAGCAAGACAACTCCCACATGTTGCTTCTCTCTGACTGATATCCTAAACAAGTATGAAGCCATCTCCGGCCAGATGATTAACAAAGAAAAGTCAAGCATCATCTTTTCGGGGAAGACCCCCCCCAAGATATGAAGGACTGAGTAATGCAATCTCTTGGAATAACAAAGGAAGGGGGACAGGGGAAATACATGGGCCTCCCTGAAAGCTTTGGTATAAGAAAAAAAGATCTCTTCACCCAGATAGTTGACCGTATCCGACAGCGATCCATCAACTGGTCCACCAGATTCCTCTCCAGTGCAGGAAAACTCACGCTGCTGAAGTCTGTCTTGTCAGCAATCCCCACCTACTCCATGTCATGCTTCAAATTACCAACTAGCCTTTGCAAAAGGATCCAATCAGCACTTACACGCTTTTGGTGGGACTCGAAACATGGACAAAGGAAAATGGCTTGGGTGTCTTGGAAACTACTCTCCAGATCAAAGAAGGAGGGTGGTCTGGGTTTCCGTGAAATCCAATGCTTTAACGACGCTCTGCTCGCTAAACAAACATGGCGTATCCTCTCAAAACCTACTTGCCTTCTCGCTAGAGTTCTGCGAGGCAAGTATTTCCCGGACACTTCTCTCCTCGATGTACCGATGGCCGCATCTATATCCCACAGATGGAGAGGCCTTCTCATCGGCAGAGACCTCCTCCTCAAGCAGTTGGGAAAATCCATTGGTATGGATGTGACACCTCAATATGGGCTGAATCCTGGCTTTCTCTGGAACATCCGATGGCACCGATGGGACCAGCAACTGAATCGACCAGTAACATGAAGGTTTCAGACCTACTCCTTGGTAATAGTGGACAATGGGACATTGATAAGATAAAGGAAATCTTACCTCACCATCTCGCGGATATATTGAGCATCAAACCAAGCTCCAAAGGTGCAAAGGACTCCTTCGTCTGGCTACCTACTTATTCAGGCACCTACTCCTCCAAAACAGGCTATCACATTGCGATGTCATCCTCTGAGGAAGGACCCATTATTAAGGAACCTGCACTCAACTGGAACGCCGAGATTTGGTCAACAAAACTCCCACCTAAACAGAAGGTCTTTATGTGGAAAATTATACAGAAAGCCCTCCCAATTGGTGAACACCTACTCAACAGAGGAATCATGGAGGACCCAGGATGTGTTCATTGTGGAGATCTCGAAACTCCTGAACATCTCTTCCTCCAGTGCCCGTATGCTCGCCGAGTTTGGGATCTCGCTCCTGTCTACCCTGATTTCACGCCATACCAAATGGACTCTTTCACTGATGCTCTTATTGCATCGAAGCTCTCGAAGTGCCTTCCACCGACCAGAGTCGGAATCGGTCCAATCTTTCCGTGGATCTGTTGGTCCATTTGGAAGTCCCGAAACAGCCTCCTTTTTGAAGAGCGACGGTTCTCACCAGAAGACAGCATCACAAAAGCAATAACGGATGCGAGAGAATGGCAGCTTGCCCAAACCCCTAAACCTGGTAATAACCCTTCCCATTCATCGGCTCCGACCCCTCTTCATCAACCAAGATCCATCGTCTGTTTCACGGACGGTGCCTGGAGGGCTGACATCAAAACTGCTGGAATTGGATGGATTCTCTTTGAAGAAGGCGGATCTGAAATCACTAAGAACCGATCTACCATCCCCTTCGTGAACAGCCCTCTGATTGCCGAAGCTTTAGCCATCCGAGAAGCTTTAAACCACGACCTCTTGCTGGGCCTAACCTCAATCAAAATCAAGTTTGACGCTCAACTCCTCATCAGAGCCATCAACATGCACGAGCAGATCAAGGAGATCTATGGTCTCCTCTTCGATATCCACGCTCTTGCCTCTCTCTACAGTTCGTCTTCTTTCTATTTTATCCCGAGATCGGAAAATTCAAGAGTTGATGCTCTCGCTAAACTCTCTCTATGTAATCTGAACTCTTCAGCTACCCCTTTGTGTCCCACCTAATTCTAATTAATGAAATGGCCGTTCAAAAAAAAAAAAAAATTGCCTTTTTTGTATAATTTTTTTGGCTGCATATTTAGGCAATGAATGGTGAATCTATTAGTGCGGTTTTCATGTGCGGTTTTTGAAAACCGCTTACATGTTACCATTCATCTTTTTTTATAATGTGTTTTGCGTTTTTTAAAAAGTACATAACACTGTTTGCGTTTTTATCAAATGCTCTATATTTTTAAAAACCACACTTATTGTTTGATCACATCTATTAATTAGCGGGTCAAAACAAATTCTGCCATGGATAATATAAAATATTAAATTTTCTTTTTTTAATTTATTATTAATTATTAGTTCTTTCAAGAACAAAAATTAAAAATATTAAACGAAGTATAAAATTTGTTAATATTGACTAAAACATATTATAGTCTAATAAATATACTAATGATTCAAATATACTAATTGCAATTGTTCCGCAAATATACTTTCACCAATCAAACATTATTTTGTAGCACTTATTATATACAAATCGCACTTGTTCCGCAAATATATTTTCCCGCACATACCGCAGTTAAACCGTACCACACTTTAAAACCGCTTTTTCGTACAACCAAAAACGCTGTTATCATTCAGATCCTTAATTATTAATTTTGACTGCACACTAGAAAATTAGAAGATGTTATATAGCCACACGATATATTTTCGTTACAGTCATTTATTTTCTGGTCGACTACAGACTACAGTCCCAATGTCCCATGATGTTATCAAGCAAATCATTTAATTATATACAAGGATTAACAAACTAATCATAGTTAACTATGAATCTTTTTGCAAAAGTTGGCCTCCAGTGTCCAAAGCGAGACCTCAATTTTGAAATTACAAATTAAGGTGGGGCGGTGGGGCCCCTGAGGTTGACGTGTGTTCTCGGACCCCTTTGCCTTTCCTGTCTCTTTGAGTTTGGTTCTTTCACGTGCCGCCATGTTCACATTCGTCATCTAATACATACATATAATATAATACGAACATATACACGTATGACAGTACCTTTATACGTATATGTACATGTACAGACATGCACACATTGATACCTTTTTCTGAACGCATACTTAAGTATTACATGTACTTTACCAAAATACATGCATAGTTTTTTTTAAGTTTCATAACACTTATACTAATCTTGCTGCAATCCATGATTCATATTCATTTTTGAGATATAAAAACAAAAGGTAGTGATTTTAAAATCTGACTCAATGATCGAACCAATACGACCACATGATCCAGAAGAATCCATTTGTTTTTATCATTGATTCACAAAAATTTATGGTTTTTAAAAAATAATAATAATAATGATCCAGAAAAAAATTGTCGCTAACTCAACACGAATAAATTATTATGATCAGTACTTACGTGGTCCTATAAGACTTTTGGCATAAATAATAATTTTAATTCAAAACTATTCCGGGTTTAGATTATGAGGGGGCATTGATTAACTTTTTTGCTTTCTTTTTGCTAAAGATATATACTTCAATTTGACATCTTTTACAGATTTTAAATTTCTGTAACTCTTTCTTTTTAATTCTAATGATGACTTTTATATAAACAGAAACCACAGAGTTGAATTAATCTTCAATATTTGGTTGCTTGGAAATGGAACCAAACGTTCACTTAGGTTGTGACTTGTGAGTAGGTATATTCCTAAAGAAAACTGTGCAAAAGGTAAGTGAAATAAAAACATACCTTTCGGCTATACATCGCGTGATGCCATGAATTTTTCTAGTTCAGACAACAGAAAAAGGGTTTTTATGCATACAGGTTTTTAATTCATTCAAATAGTCTAAATACATATAGAATGATATGTTTTTGATTTACACTTAGAGAATAGAAAGCATCAAAATTGGGTAATCACAAGTGTTTTTTTTTAAAAAGATTGATCATATATTGTGCCATAATTTGCGGCCTTAAAGCACTTACTAATTATCAATGAACATTTCACTTTTTATCGTTTACTTGAAATATGTAGTAATTCTTGATTCTGACCGGTAGATTAAAAAAATTTAAGGAGGCTGAAAAATTCAACTTGTGGCGCCGTAAAGATTTGAATTATTAACCCCAACTTCCAAGCCTAACACTTTATTTTAAAGTTTTATCCAAAGCTCTATGCAACATATTTTTTTTTTGGTTAAGAGAACATATTATATTATTTCATAGCCAATTTCTAGCTTATACAAATTTCTCAGGCAAATTCTTTAAAGAAGCATCTGCAAATTTTTCAGATTGATACTTACAGAAGAACTCATTCCAAGAATGAGAGAAAGGAAAGATTATAATTCACACAATAAAATTGAAACTCTTAAAAATTTCAACCAAAAATAACAGTTAAGGAGTAGAAACAGAGAGATCTAATACTAAAGAACCAGTGTGGATTTCTGGTCTAACGTTCTAAGATTTGTACCTGATGAAGAAGAAGGAGAAAACGACACCGTTTCATCAGATTCTTGAATACTCTGTTTCTTCTCTCTGTTCATCGCAGGATTCATGAACTTCAGAAACGAACCCTCTGTTACCATCGAAAGGTCCGGTTTTTGCTCTCTCCTTTTAGCTTCTTCGATCAATCTCTTCCTCAGCTTCTCTTCAGCGTCTCTCATGAACTTAAATTTCGGCGGAGGCGAAGAAGACGACCTGAAAAACTTGTTAAACTCAAGCTCACCGTCTGATTCGAACAGAGGATTGAATCCATGGTGCGAGTAAGACTCTAAAGGAGATGACTTTAGTGTCGTAGGAGAGGCCAATGGAGTGAATCCAGGGGTATTACAGTCATTTACTCCGAGCGGAAGATCACTCAGGCTCCTTGTTCTCGATCTCGAACCCAATCTCGATTTTCCATCTTCAGATTCCAAATCAGCTTTTGTCTCTTCCATGATTGTGAAGAGAAACCTCTGGTTATGAAGCTTCATGAGCTCTGCTTCAAACCCTAGATCTCCTCCACCCAAATGTTTCATCAACCCAAGCTCTAAATCTTGAGTCCCATCTTGATTCATCGAGATTTCCCCTTCTCTTCCGCCATTGTTGGCCTGTAAAGATTGAGGCTTTTTGAAGCAGAAGAGCTGGATTAGCTCCTTAGCGTATCCAATCTGTTCTTCTTCTTCTTTCTCTTCTTCACTCTCTTGGCTTATGACTCTCTTCTTGTGCTTCTTCCATCTCAGAAGGTAATAGACTTCTGCAGCAAGTGCTAATAGAAGAAACCCAAACACCAAACTCAAACCAATTCCTAACCCACTAATAGTCTTCATCTTTCTCACCCAAAATTCTCACATCACATGAAAAGAAAAAAAGAAACAAAAAACCCCCCAAATTTGGGTCCTTTGCGTGAAATTACAGAGGAATGAAGCAAGATTCGGTTACCCTTTTTCAACGATTAGAAGAACCTAAATGTGTGAAACTTTTGGAAAGAAGAGAGATTTTAGCAGCAATTGATATTTGTTAGAGGAGCAAAAGATGGAAACTTGCCTTAAAGGTGAGCAGAAATTAAGATTGAAAGAGAAAGATAGATTTTTTGTGTGTGTGATATAGATAGAAATACTTCTCTTTCAAAGCAATTTAGGTTCACAGGTTGGGTTCCTTGTACTACTTGGCACAAAAGGGCCAAGTCTTGGTGCCTTTACCGCAACATTTTGAAATATATAAGAGAAATTATGGTACACTTTACAGAAATATTATTCTCAGGGATTATACTTATGCTTTAGAGTACCCAAAATCAGTCTTGTAAGTTGTAATACAACTATTTCAGTTATTTCTCTCAAAATAAAAGTAATTGTTTGTGATTTGTTTCGGTGATGCTGCGTAATCGCGTAATGACAGAAATTTAATCTACGGAACAAATGAATTTTCATATTGAAAAGTCGTTGAATATAATTATTTGGCGATCAGATAAAGTCTGAGCTCGAATGATAATTATTTTCTTTATAATTAATAGAAGGTAATTCAGGTTACAATGATTAAAAAGGAAATGTTGTAAACAATATATTATGAATTATACAAGAATTGAACGGTCCACATTATTACTATTTGTGTTTTATTTTTCAGCTAGACGCCACAATATTTCATAATACAAACAATAAAAATATTAAAAATTTCTGTTTTTTGTCTCTCGTCGACAGCGGCACAGCGCCATATACAAACATACTCATATAGTGTGTATATATATATATATGCTAATTAATATGGGCACAATATACATCTTCTTTTCTTGTTTTTTGTTTTGTTGTGAATGGTTAATATGGTATATACTAATGTACAAATTGCAATAGATGTTTTTTGTTTTTCTTTAATTTATTGCTGCTAGTTAGAGCTTTTTGTGCAATACACATTTACATATATCTGTATATCATTAAAACTTTTAGTTTTTGTAACTCCGTTATAACTTTTACCAAATTTCACACTTGAACTTTTTTTCCAAGTAAAATGGAAAAAACGTTTTCAGTTTTATTTAGAGCTTATTACATTGAAAAATAGACCCAAGATTCTTATTCGTATGTTTTCCACAAATTTATACATCTATATATACACATGGGTAATTCATGGGTGTACGTTATGGAATGGTTTCTTTTTATAATCTATTATATTAAAAGTGAAGCATATTTAGTATTTGTTTCCAAACATTTCTAATTTTTTTTAAGTGTTTAAAAATAATTTTAATAATTATTTATATTTAATTTCGAAAATTAGTTATTAATTTAAATATTTTTAGAGTTATTTAAATATAGGTAATTTAGATTTGATTTGATTTGATTAAAAATAATAAATCAAATATTAATTTAGATTTGAATTAAAGATTCTAATTTAAATAATTTCTATACTATTAAAATTTTTATCAAAAATATCTAGAATTTTTGAAAAAAAAAATCACATATGAAAATAATGGTTATATTTGAAATATTAAATATTTATAATGATGTAAATGATATGATATTTATGTTGCTTATATAATATATTTACGATTATAATTTAGTTACAAATTAATAATAAAACAATAGGTAAAATTTAAATGTATAATTTAAATACTAAAATATATTTTTTTAAATTCATAGAACTAAAAATATATATAAAAACCGGGTTAAAAATATTTTGGTAACTAAAATCACTAATTTTGAATTATACATGTATATCGAAAATATATTTTTCATACAAAATCAAAACATAAAAAATTAAAAATTATTGCATACAATATAATGTGGTTTGAAAAACCAGTTGTACACTCCCTTAGTTGATTAAATTTTAAAAAACTATAATGCTAAATAATACTGTTAATACATCTCAAACTTTTAACAAATATTTATATTATACGGTAATATGAACGGAAAAGTTAGAATTATGTTTTTATAATATTTTATTTTGAATTAATATTAGCGGAAGAGTTAAAATTATATTTTTATAATCATAATTAATTTTAATACTATAAAAGTATATCTAAACAAAAAAAATTAATATTTTCACTTATTAAAAAATATATTTATAAAAATAATTAGATTGAAACTCAAAAACATAAATTAAATTACAAAGTTCGTTAAACAATAAAAAATATTTCTGTGCATCTAGAATCTAGTTAGTGTTAAACGTGTTTTACTGCAACCAGTCTATATATGACTGTGGTTGTGGGATAACTGATTACAATTTGAGTGTTGGTTCTGGAATAAGTTTTTTTTTTTTTTTTTTGAGAAAATGATAGAATAAGCTGGTAAAAGGGAAAATGAATTATTCAAAGCAAATATAGCAAACATTTAAAATTGAAGCGTTTGTAAGGAATAAAAATAGGAGAAGCCACGAGGGGAACCCAGAAAATATGATTGGATAAGATAATAAATAGACAGAGCCAAAGGTTAGACAACCGTCGCCCACAAACTCACTATAGCTGTTTGTTTTCCCCTCTTGATTCGATTCCATTATCATCGGTGGTTTTTAAATTATTATATAGACGTAAAGTTTTGTTTCATATTTACTCTCTATACGAATTATTTTTGTTTCTTTTCGTTTTTCCTACAATACCGTTAGAGTAAGTTTTGACTGTGACTTTGTTTTGATAAAAATGAACTCATTTGCAATAAAAACACATTGCCGTACTTTTAAAAGGTAAAGTTCGTTTTATATTGCAATAATCTTTTCATAGGAGTCAGTTTCGTATAGCATATACAATATATAAGTTCTGAAAGAAATAAATTAACGGATAATCCCTGGACCTAAAGTAATTCTAACAAGGTTTTGTTCTAGGACAATTCCCACAAATAGCACCAAACAAATCTTATCTTTAAAATGCATACCTTACACAGAAGACTACAATATTTAAACAGTTTGTAACATAAAGATGTTGTTCGAGAGTATGGCCTACATGCTGACATGCTGGAATGTTTTTCATTTTACACGATTGATTATTTCATGGTATTCAGTTTGTTTTCATAGAATAAATAGATGAGGTAATAAATTGAGAGAGAAAGTATTGATTTATTTTTATTAAATTTTCACAATTATGATATATATTCTTGTGGTTTGTGTTAATTTGTTTCCAGCGTAATAAATGATATTAACAAAAAATAATAATGTTGAACATTTTTCAGTATTAAATTCGTATATTACCCTCAGTTCTAAAATTAGTTTTCAATTTTTAATATATAAACGAACCTAAATCTCTCATTAAAAAATGTTTGATAACATTCAGAATAATGTGTGTTAAATCTCATGGGCGATGGCTTTTAACATAACTTGAACAAGAAGCACATAACGAGTTTTGGCCCATTCAAACCAGTATTTCCAAATGGGCCATACAACACTTTCGGTTGAAGGCCTAATGCAATATTTCTCCTTTTTTTAGTTTTCCATGAGCATACATAACTCTTATTGGCTTGCGGAAGAGGACCGAAGTGTATAAATTTCTGTTAAGTCACACAAAAAGAGTATGAATTTCGGTTAACCAGGGATTAAAATCCGAACTAATCTTTATAATCTGCAATTGCGATGTAAACGTTGTAGAAAAAAAAAAAACATGACTTGTTCAACAGAAATTATTTCATGACCCGGTCGTATATATATATATATATATATATTACAAATAAAAGGTGGATATTTTGATCTTAGCAAATCAATCAACAAACTTATATATATATATATATGTATATTTATGTTACAAAAGTTTCTTGTTAATGTTAGCTTTCGGACTCCTAAAGTCCTAAATCCTAGGACCGGCTACACCTCTTCGAAATCTTTTTTTAATGTTATTTGATTTCCTATTCCTACTATAAAATTTAGATAATTCCTTCGGGAGATAAAGGAACAAAGGTCAGGTAGATAAATGTGAACGGCACAAGAGTACTTTGGCTGAATGCTAAGAAATAGTAAACATAGCACACGAAGAAAACAGCATGTCCGTATAAAAAAATGTATACAATACGTGTATGTAGAATGTGAACTTATACGTGCGTTTACAAGTTTAGCTACAAGTGTCTGCCCCACTCAACGACACCACACAAAGGAGACAAAATTGCCTTTTTAGGGCAGTTATACGTCTTTTTTTGCTCATGAACAGACATCCAGAGATACTGCAATGTAGTGGAATTCATTTTGAAAATTTATATCATAAAAAACTAATATATACGACTATACGAGAGATAAGTTATAAGTATATATTTAGTGTATTATGGTTTAGGTAGCTGTTAATTTTAAATTTTTTATTAAAAATTACGAACCGTAAGAGTTCGGACATTCGAGTCATTGCACCCATAGTAATTTAATTTTGTAATATTTGGAGTATTAGTGAAGGAGAATTTAACTAACAGAAAAAACTCAACATAATTAATGCAATAGGTGTCGGATTGAAAAAGAAGTAAAAAAATTCTCTGAAATATCATTTTAACATACTACATTTTCAAACAGTATTCCCTTTGTTCATTATAAAGGATTCAAGTTTTTTTCTTTTTTGATAAAGAAGGATGTTTAAGTTTTGTCACACAAGTTTAGAAATCATTTCATTTTTATTTTTATCATCTAAATTATTAATGACTAACTACTGTAACACAAAAATAAACAAAATAGAGTTAGTTAATTTAATGGTTTCATTGTCTGAGATATTAACGGATCCATATTCGAGTAGACGTTGGTTTTCAAATTTGAATATTATAAATTTTTAAGGTACTGGTCTATATTCACCTAATTATGTTATGTGTATATCGTATGTGAATATTTTTTTCATTTTATTGTAAATATATTTCATATTTTCTATATATAAAAAAATCAGATTAATTTTTGTTGATTTATTATATAAATTTATCTTATTAATTAATAACTAAAGTAGTAAAAATATGCATTAAATAGATAACAACGTTCATCATAAATGGAGAAAATAATTGTTAGAGATAAGAAAAGTAATGATATTTCTGTTATACATAAAAATAAATTATGTGATTGTATTCCATCTTGTAACAGATTTTGTGGCTAGTATATGAGTAAATCTTATTACAGTATCAATTTAAACAATTGCAATCAAAAGTAAATTAATTTGCCATGGTGATTACTTAAGCGAATCAAATGGCTCAAACTTCATTAAACCATGGATATTAATGAAGAGATTGGGGAGTGTCATATGTGTTTCTCTTTCCCTCCTTCTATCACTCTTTCTCGAGGCAAATCTCTGCTCCTATAGATTCGTAGGTGCCTAAAAGACTCAAATTGAAGTCATGCATGTCTGTTGCTTTCACAATTTGTCATTCCCCATGCCAACTTCTCACAAAATCTTACTCTGTATATACATATATTTGCATATTACATAAAGGTCTGGGAAAATATATGTTAAATTTGATTTGAATTGTTATTTGTTTTAATTCGTTTAAGAAATTCAGATAACTGTAATTTTATATATGTAGTAGTAATATAGATGCTGGAGTAAGTTTTTGTTAAAAATATAACAAATCATAAATATTAAGACTTGTTAAAAAAAACTGATCCACGCGGCGTAAAACATGTGATAATAAATCTAAATAATTAAGTAGTGTTTAGAAAATATGACTATAGATGTTAGGCGTACTGTTGTTTTTATGTTATGTATGCATGGGGAATGACTAAACAGAGGATCATTTTTAACTTTGTCTTAGTTATCAAATTGTTCGCTGAAAACATTAACTTATTTGAGACCATTTCTCATTTTGAGAATTAATTGTATAATTTTTTTTAAAGTATCCATAATAAATGCGATAGTTCTTATATGCTGTAATATAAATGTGTGTTATATATCAATCTATTAAAAGGTTTTTATCTATGTTTGTTTTTCCTTTATAAAAACGTTCGCGTGTTTAGGCGTTTTGCCACTCAAATTTATGCTACATTTTAAGAACATTTATTTTAAGATAAAACTTATGAAAATGTGTGATATATGTCACGAACGTATATCATTAACATTCCATCTGAAAGGAATATGGCGGGGCCATATTTAAACGCCATTTCGTCCACACCTTCTTTAGTAAGCAAATCAATATGAATTGAAATGAGACCATGAGGCAAAACAACTAGCCACTAGAGTTTTCTATTTTGACGGTTTACTAAATATGATTAAGGTTTTGTTTCTTTCCTCGAAATTTTTGAAAGATTTTTTTTGATCGTTAAGAAATCGAAGAGCCAAGCGACTCGACTTCAAATTGTCGGGTTGTATAAATATAAATAATATATATACAATACTTATATACTTATATAAGATAGTATGTCAATTTCCGAAGCAAACTAGATGTATAGGCTTCTCATGACCTACAAAGAACATAATCCAACCAGCTATCTTTTGCCGCCCTATTATATTAACGTTCGTATTTATCCTTACTGTCTCTTTCATTTCCAAGACTTACTATGGCTCTCCTTCACCATGAGGCAAAACAACTAGCCACTAGAGTTTTCTATTTTGACGGTTTACTAAATATGATTAAGGTTTTGTTTCTTTCCTCGAAATTTTTGAAAGATTTTTTTTGATCGTTAAGAAATCGAAGAGCCAAGCGACTCGACTTCAAATTGTCGGGTTGTATAAATATAAATAATATATATACAATACTTATATACTTATATAAGATAGTATGTCAATTTCCGAAGCAAACTAGATGTATAGGCTTCTCATGACCTACAAAGAACATAATCCAACCAGCTATCTTTTGCCGCCCTATTATATTAACGTTCGTATTTATCCTTACTGTCTCTTTCATTTCCAAGACTTACTATGGCTCTCCTTCATTAACTCACTTTCCAAAAAACATCCGTAATCCCCATAAAGAATAAGAAAAAAAGGTTAATAAAAACACATAATCCAACAATTATATCCACCAAATTTCACATGGGAAAAATATTTAAGATGTAGTTGCAGACAATTTGACATTGACAAGTACTGTGTTATCTTTTTCTGTTAGCCACAATAAATTAATCAACAATAGTAACTAATGATTGATTTTACCCAAAAAAAAAGAAACTAGAACCAGAGTCCAGGTAGATCCAAATTGTTTTTTTTTTCTATTTTTTTCTTCTCATAAAAAGTAGCCTCTTTTTTACCATCTCAGCCGCTCCACGCCATGTTTTCAGAGTCTTCAGCACAAGAAACGACACGCATGTCACTCTCTCTCTCTTCATTTCATTTGACTCTGTTCCACTCCCTCACTAAATCGCTCTATAAATATAAGAGCCTCCCCATGATTTTCATGCATCAATCAAACCCGTACACCCACATGCAAGAATCCCTCTTTAAAGTCCTCATTTTCTCACAATTTAGCAAAGAAGTTTAATGGAAAATGAAGGGAACGCAGGAACCGCAAGCAGTTCAAGGTGGAACCCAACGAAAGAGCAGATAACGCTGCTTGAGAATCTTTACAAGCAAGGGATACGAACGCCGAGCGCCGATCAGATACAGCAGATCACCGGTAGGCTCCGCGCATACGGCCATATCGAGGGTAAAAATGTCTTTTACTGGTTTCAGAACCATAAGGCTAGACAACGCCAAAAGCAGAAACAGGAGCGCATCGCTTACTTCAATCGTCTCCTCCACAAAACCTCCCGTTTCTTCCACCCTCCTCCTTGCTCAAACGGCACGTAGTTCTCACCTCTATTCTTCCTTATTTATTTTACGTACCTTTTTTTTTTTATAATTTCGTACGTACTTTCATCATCACATAATATATATATACATATCTTATATATAAAATTAGAACATATACATATTTAATTGATTTCTTGTTGATTACGTTTACTTTTTTTTCTGTATAAGGATTTTGAACAAATCGTGTGGAATATTCAACACATACATCTCTAGTAAATCTAAAAATTACCATAATTGGATTGAGATGTCTATTAGCAAATTTCTTCCGTTTTCTTGTATATTTACGTTTTTTTTTTTGGTAAAAGTATATTTACGTTTTTCTTCTTATTAAGAAAGAGAAATATTAAGAAAAGTTACTAAATGTATGTCATGTTTTTGTTGTTGTCGTTATGAAGTGGGCTGTGTTAGTCCGTACTACTTACAGCAAGTAAGTGATCACCACAATCGACATGGAAGTGTATACAGACAGGATCTTATTCACAGTAACAATGTGATGATTCCAAGTGGTGGCTACGAGAAACGCACAATCACAGATCATAAGAAACAACTTTCAGACATAACAACAACGGCAACTAGAATGTCAATGTCTTCGAGTTCACTCAGATTTGACCGGTTTGCCCTTCATGATAACGGTTATCATGGCGAGGGCATTACCGTCAATTCTCATGGACGGAAAACGCTTCCTCTTTTTCCACTTCAACCATTGGATGCCACTAATGCAGATGGTGTTGGAAATTCCAGTTGTGCCCCTGATCATGATTCTCCGGTGGCTTTTTTAAGCGATGGCGGCGGACGAGAGCAGCCGTTTATTGATTTCTTCTCTAGTGGTTCTGGTAGGTTCGATAAAAGAGGAAATGGGTTGTAACGAAGGGTTTTAATGAAAATAAACATTTTCTTTCAATCTTTTGAATTTTTAGTTGCTCTTTTTTTTTTTGAAAAAAATTGGGAGGAATATTTGAAACGAGGTGAAGAACTAATTTGCTAGTCTTAAAAATAGAATCTAAAGGAGAAAGAACCACATAGATTGCTTCAGATTCACAAGCGAGTCTGAATACTGTTATATGAAATTTGGGACATTGCCGTATATGGTTTAAGGTGATACTGTTAGATATTTGAAACCATTTTTAATGCGATATTACACGTAAACATATGTAAAAAAGTTAAGATCATATCTTTTTTTTTTGGATGTGGTTAAAATTTCAATCACAAATGGTCTAAACAAAAGTGTCAAAATTAGGCTTCCATACACACAAAAAATCACTGTAAACAACAGTAGACCAATTTTTTTGAGCACTAGACTAGATAATCTCTTACAAAATATTTTGCCCCAAAATTGTGTGCCCAACTGCCTAAGTCCAATTATTTGCTTAGAAAAAGGCCGGGCCTGATTTCATGTCACTACTCAGAGTTTGTGGCCATAATTCCGTATGCTCTTACCACCTAGTCACAACTCACAACCTTGGATTTGACAAAAGTTTTGTCAAAATAAAAAAGGGTAAACAAAGCTCTTAGCTGTTGTTAAATATCTATGCTGGTGATCGTGAAGAATCTCTTTGCTATTGTACGAATTGAAAATTAATAGTTCCATGAAAGGAACGATTCAGAATCTTTTCTTCGTATTTCTAAATAAATAGTAGTATTTGGTTTTTAGTACCAATAATTTTGACCACAAAACTAAGGTCTTAATCAGGATCTTAATGTATCCGTATTATTAGTTATAGAACTCTTTACTACGACATGAATAATGTGGACGAAGGCGGTGGAAAAATATATTAAGAGAAGATGATTGATAAGTTACTATTATCATATCTTAAACATATTAAGATACAATACAAGAAAGAAAAGATTACAAAACAACAAGACAAGAGCATGGTGATATCAGCTTAGACAGCCGTCTTTTATTATGTTATACTAAACCATACACTTCACGCAGATGATGGCATGAACTACTCCCATTTCACTTGACGCTGCAACAACGATCAAGAGTATACGTTAGCACATAAGGAAAATTAATGTTTTAGATCGAGTAATTAATCAAGTAAAAAATATATACATATAGAATGTAAGCTTTGCACACACAAAAAAATTTAAAAAACTTACTTGTCGCAGTTGGTGCTCATGGAGATGGGATAGGGAATGCTAACACCGCACTTTCCAGGAAGGCCAGAGGCTAGACTTGGGTTGATGCTCTGTGCTGCGGCCTTTAGGCATTTGCAAGCTTGTTGGCGGTCTGGTGTGGTTTTAGCCATGCCGTTCAACTTTGACACTCCAGCACAGCACGGAGCGGGCACCGCGCCTCCTTTTGTTAGGTAGCCTGCACATGGAGCCAAGCTGCTTGCCACTGTGCCACATGAGATTGCTGCATCTACTGATGCAACTATGCACACCGTCAAAACAAGGCATGTGAAGAACCTCAGAGCCAAAGCCATTGTGTTTTGCTTTTCTTTTTTACTTTTCTGTGATGATAAAATAGGGAGATTTAGTTGACTTCTGTTTTCTAAGTTGTGTTTGCTGTTGGATGTGAGAAAAGTATGAGGTGGTGATGGGTTTATATAGGGATGTTAGATGGGAAAATGATGACTAAGCGGAGTTTGTTAGTAGTTGGATTTGCATTTACTTCATTCAAATCTACTTTATTGAAATTTAAATATCACATTGTTTACAGAATTACAGTATAAGTGTGCTACAATGTACATGAAACATCGATATATCCAGTGTTAAAAATTTTATATGGTGATATTGAGCTATCATGATTTCGACTAAAACATGTAATGATTTGTGTTTGCGTCCTTGTTGTGTTACCAATCAGATTATTATTGTTATCATGTATTTGGTAATGAAAAAAAGTTATTATATTTTTGATCAAGAGGTTTGATCAAAAGGGTTACACAATATCAGAAATATCGTCGAGTATTGACAGAAGAATATTTTTTTTTTAAGCAAAGCAATGATATACATATATATATATATATATATAGTTAGTAATTTTCAGCTACGTTTACCATACTTTTATATCGGCCGTCCAATTGAATACAATATTGTGTAACTAGGGCCTCAGGGTCTAGAGGACACGTGTGTATTCAGTATTCTACACCAGATTGAGTTAGTTATCAGTTATGTGGATACGTAAATTAATTTATGAATCAGTTATGTGCACTTTATATACGTACATTAATTAATTAATTGTGTTAACAGTTAGAAGGTATTTTTAATCTTTGAATACTTTGAGTTAACATGTTTTGATGTAAAGCAAAAGTCTTCATTGTATATAGATTCTCTTTGATCGTTAACAGTTAGAAGGTCGGAGATGGTTGTTAACAATCGAATCACTTAGCGCGTACTATGTTGATTTAAATTTCAATACCGTCCAATTAATGCAATATTGTGTAACTGAGGTACACGTGTAGCCAACATCAAACATACATCTTTTATAATTCTATTAACGCATGCATTATCTGCGTTTTACTACTATCATGATCCCAAAAAAAGACTGATCTTCACGTGATGGCGATTCAAATCATATAGTATTGCTATTAACGCATTACGCACTATTGATGTCCATTTGACGTTTTAGTTTTTGGGACGACCGATTTGCGACTAATGTTGTGATCAGATAGGTAGCTTGTCCGAATTTGTGAATGAATTCTTAAATTTCCGTTGTCTATTTAGATTTTCTTAATGTCCTTACTAAGAACATTGATGAAAAAAAAAAAATCATGCCAAAATAATTAGCCTAGTAAAGGAAGCCAAAATAATGTTCTTTGTATGAAATTTGGTATATAAAAGGTAATTCAATTAGTTGAAAAAAATAAAGATTAATTATTCAATTAATTCAATTGGAAAACAAAATAAATGTTTATCGTAGTAAAGATTAATTACCTTAAGAACATATATACATAAAAACGTGAAATAATTTTTACACTGTCGGCTGAGGTTTGTGAAGAGAAAGTGTGACTTTCAGTTACGTACTATATATACATGGGCAAAATTATCAATCATTTTTTTTTAATCTGCCTTTATTCATCTGTATTATCAATCATGTACTGATGTACGATATCCCTTGACAGTTCTTGTCCTGAAGTATCAACACCATAAATCAACCGTTCACACCGAAAGCCCTCTTTCACATCGGAGAAGCCTCATCACATGCGTAGAAAAGGAAAAAGACAACTAAAAGAATTGTGTGTGTAATTATAAGCAATTCATGAGATCTAGAACCCAATAGTGGTGATTGGGTGATTGTTGATTGAAAATAAGCGTAAACTTTTTCTCCACTTAGTCCGATTCGAGGTTACAGAAACTCTTTCAGGTTAGAGAAACATTTTTTGGCTGAGTGATGCAATGGCCATGTTTTTATTATTATGCCAGGTTATAGAAATCCAATTTTCTCTGAATCTAATGGCCATAGTTAATTAATATTCCCTCTGTTCAGAATTATTTGATGTTTAAGGTTTTTGTACATAATTTAAGGATTTATTTAATTTTTATTTTTCTTATACTAAAAATATTATTTATAATCTATTTAAATATTATTCAGCCAATAAAAAGATAATCTACAGAATATAAAAGGTCAAAAACTATAAAAATTTATTAAATTTTGCATTGAAAAATGAGAACATCAAATAATTCTGAAAAAAAAACTTTCTAAAACATCAAATAATTCTGAACAGAGTAGCAAAACAAATAGGTGGTCCAATGGAATTGGAGAATGTGATGGGGTTAGTTGGTAGAGTTCGATTTTTGATGTTGGATACACGCGTCTCTCATTTAAACATTGCATTAAATTGGGCTGGTACTCAAATTTAATTAGCTTAGTACGAACTAATAAGCTGATAACTTATTGATTAGGCAAAAAAGCGACACTACAACTAAGGCCTTAGATATCGTTAATCGCTCAACCATAATATCTCAAAACACCCAAATGTTGTAAGACAAATAAATTTTTAATATTGTGTTTCTGTTATTTGAAGAAACAAATTCTTCTCATTAGTAGAAGAAACTAGAAGGAGTGAATGAAGTAAATGCAAATCTAACTACTAACAAACTCTAACTAGTCATCATTTTTCCCATCTAAAATCCCTATATAAACCCATCACCACCTTACACTTTTCTCACATCCAACAGCAAAAAACAACCTTAGAAAACAAAAGTCAACTAAATCTCCCTATTTTCTTATCACAAAAAAGGTAAAGCAAAACACAATGGCTTTGGCTCTGAGGTTCTTCACATGCCTTGTTTTGACGGTGTGCATAGTTGCATCAGTAGATGCAGCAATCTCATGTGGCACAGTGGCAAGCAGCTTGGCTCCATGTGCAGGCTACCTAACAAAAGGAGGCGCGGTGCCCGCTCCGTGCTGTGCTGGAGTGTCAAAGTTGAACGGCATGGCTAAAACCACACCAGACCGCCAACAAGCTTGCAAATGCCTAAAGGCCGCAGCACAGAGCATCAACCCAAGTCTAGCCTCTGGCCTTCCTGGAAAGTGCGGTGTTAGCATTCCCTATCCCATCTCCATGAGCACCAACTGCGACAAGTAAGCTTTTTTTTTTTGTGTGTGCAAAGTTTTTACTTGATTAATACTCGATCTAGAGACCATGATTTACTTTGGCTAACGAGCCAAAACTTATACTCTTGGTCGTTTGTTTTCTTGCAGCGTCAAGTGAATTGAGCACTCACATCGTGTGGATGAAGATGCATGGTTTAGCATAAGTAAAATAAAAACGTCTGTGTACGCTGATCTCAGCTTGCCCTAGTTTATCTTGTTTTATTTTGGTTGTTGAAAGTTTGTCATCTTACTTTGTAATCTTTTGCTTTTATTATATTGTATTATGGTTAAAGTATGATAGTAGTACCTTCTTAATCATCTTCTCTTTATATATTTTCCCCATCGCCTGAATCCCATCGCCTTCGTACGTAATAATCATATATAGTGAAGAGTTCTTTTATCATTTACTAGTAGTTATGGAGGGCTGTATGTATGTATATTAAGATCTTAGTTTTTTGGTGCATTTATAAAATTTAATTTGGAATCAAAAACCAAACACCATTTAGAAATAAGAAGAAGAAATGCGGAATGGTTTAGTTTCTCTCATCCAATCATAAATTTAAGATAGCACTGAATAACATACTTACGTGCATAACAACAACTTAAAACATAGTTTTCTGTTGAATTGAGAAAAAAAAAAATTACTAAACAATCAAGATTTTAGCTATGCATCAGAGAAAATTGTGAATTTTCATTCATAAATAACGATTTCAACTAAATTTTTTTTTTTTTTTTTTTTTTGTTAAAGAACTAAATTTTTTCTTTCTGTGTACAACTAGGAATGCCAATTTCTTATCTTAATCTGGAAATATTTATGAGTCTTTTCGTTGTATAATGATATCATGAGTGGGTAGATATCATGTAAGTCCAACCAACATTTTTTTAACAAGATTCTGAGGTCAAGTCATAAGTTCTTGTGCTTCATTTGGTGATCATGGATTGATTTTGTTGTAATCTCTCTTCTAAAACAAATCATTACTTTTTTTTATTCACCAATAAAATAAATCAAATCGAATCGGATACCTCATATAGTCACGGGTACCCGAAATAGTTTTTTCGAAATGCTGAAAGTCAAAAACATTCGAGTTAATTTCGGAAAATGTTTTGTTTTGCTAAACAAGTTTTGGGAAAAATATAGTATCGCAAGTATCTACGTATTTGGATATGGTATGGATATCCGTGGTGAACCATGAAGAGAAAGTAGTGCAGATGTTTTACTTGTTATTGTGTTATGGGACTTTCAATAATTTAGTTAGAAGAAAGTAGTGAAGATGCATGGGTTGCTTAGAACATAAAAAATTGCACAATACGAGCCCATTCTGTTATGTTCATCCACTCTTCTATGGTATTTATTTTCATGATATAGTTTATTAGATCGTACATATGTTTCACACACATTGGATCTTTAACCTTAAGTACTGTCTTCCTCTTATAGGCTGCTTCACTCCTTATTACATCCTATAAATAGACATATCAGACATTGACTTAATTAGAAGAGTCCCTTTTTTTTGCGACAGTTGTGCTGTTATAAACTCAGGGTTTGGCCGGTGGGTGGCGATTTCCTGTTGGGTTAGGTCCTGATGGGTGCTTATGCCACCTTTTCTCTTCGACCTGTTGCCAGAAGAAAGATGTAATAATCATGCTCTTTGTTCACTAATGGTTACAGGCAAAAATTTGATCTCTTTACCCAAGTTGGCGTCACTCTCTCGTAATTCGGTTTTGTGCTAATCTTAGCAGGTCCAATCTTGAAATGGACTGAAACAGGCAAAAGACAGAGGTTAGTCTGCAAGAGTGCCAAAGAATCATGCCCTCAATTTAAACGCATTATAATTATCATCTCTTACAATAAGTCATGCAAAGCAAACACGCACAGAGAACGAGAAATGAGATTACCTTCTTGGCATTGCCGAGTCATGTTTCTTCCGAGAAAGAGGCAGATGAGAAGGAGAAACTTGATGATGATAACATGTCTCATAGTTATAGGTAGAGAAAGCTTAATTGTTTTCATACAGGATCATCAAATATATATTGTGTAACAAGCACGATACAACAATTTTGTCACATCTAGTTGGTACACTCCTTGGAGAACCGTAATGATTACTTAGCTTGAAGAAACCAGGTAAGATTCTCTGGTTAAATTTCATTTCATGGAATCCTATGCAATCAAATTTCCACTTAGAAATTGGAATGTCTGTAGAAGTATTTCTTATTTGTTCTGTTCTATTTAGACCAGCTTGAATGCTTTGTACTTTTTGGTTTACACGACAGCTCGATGTTTGGTTCATGTATATTTCCAACCCGAAATACCGATATTACTAGTGGACTTTCCGGATTGATCTTAGTCCACACTTTCTTTTCTTGATATCTCTAGCTAGAACCTAATTATCTATCAATTGTTTAACTATTACCACTGAATGAGTCTCATTTTTTAAGCACCATGTGGACCAACCAAAACCAAAACAAACCGAACAATTAAACCTCGTTTCGCAATCAGTGTAGCTACTAACTTGAGAACATTCACAGTCACTTTAAAATATACGTCGGCCAAATATTGCGGCCTTCATTTCAATTTCAGTTTCTTTCTATGTCATCATTTGGGTCTCATCATTATAACCACCACGATATCTGAAAGTTAAAAAAAAAAACAAAAAAAACCCATCACGATATATTTATCATATATAGTTAATAGTTGTATATATGTACCCTCTTTTCTTGATATTTCTTTTTCCTTATATTGATCTCTTATGCTTTTTGTTTTTCACCTGCAAATTAAGCTTGTCGGTCTCGTGATTGTTTAGAACTAATTACGATAACGACACATAACCAGCATTTTTTCAACATTCTTGATGATAGCTATTTCTTTCTTTTTTCTTTGAGAAAGATTGATGATTGCTAATTCTTCCAAGTGCATTATAGTAATTTTCTTTCTTTTATTTTCATAGTTTAAAAAAACTTTTAGATCGATGTTTAGGAATATTTCTGAAATTCATGTTCTCCGGAACTGGATTTACAATCTGGCTAATTAATTTTGATATGATTGCCGGTCTAATCTTCCTGGTCCGGGAATTGCCGTTTTGAATTACCAAACCATTTCTTAAAATGTATCAGTGTTTGTGGCTGTCTTGTGACTGAATTGCACACTATGTCGACGCGACCATCCTTAATTATATTTTTATTATGATTTTGTAATTTAACGGTCACGGCAATACTGAAAATGATTAACTTATCTTTAGTCATTGACCCTTATACAGAAAGTATGGATCATTCATGATGGCAACTTGATTTGTAATAAAATTATCATCAAAAGAAATCAGAATTTATATAAAAAGTAATTTCTCGATGGCATATGTTAAAAAAATTGTAAACCTTAAATCAATATAAATCTAGAATATGCCGACAAAAAAAAATCTAGAATATATGGAGTAGAACCCGATCCATGTGTATAAAATTTTGCACAATAAAATTGGAGACTATTTCCCCATATAGATATGTGTATTTTGGTTTTAGTATAAATACAAAAAAAGGACAAGTGTATGTGCATTTTGATTTATGCTGCATTGATTTGGTAGTCTTTCTTCCAATGTAGAATAAAGCGAAACCGAACCGAATATGTACCAAAACCGGCTTAACCAGAATTTAGAAACTTAAAGAAAGATCGAAAAGTCTCTAAGCGCTATTGGTTAGAACGGTAAAGTATAGAATGGACTGTTCGTAGGTGATTCGAGCTCCTTCCATGTGTTCTCATGATGTTTCACGTAATCCCAAGTTCGATTCTCAGAACCTTCTAGCGATATAAATCTCAATTTCAATTCTCTCTCTCTCCAATCTCTTGCGTTTCGAAGCTCGATCGTATTATCTATCGGCCATGGCCTCGCAAGCCAGCCTTCTCCTCCAGAAACAACTCAAAGGCACGCAAAAACCCAATTCAATCTTCTAACGATTCTCTGATTACTTTTTCTTTATTTTGTGTTCTTCAATTCGAATTTGTCTCTTGTTTCAGATCTCTGTAAGCATCCTGTTGATGGATTCTCTGCTGGCCTCGTTGATGAGAAGAATATATTCGAATGGAGCGTCACCATTATCGGACCCCCAGATACTCTCTAGTACGCTCTTCCTTCAATCGCTCTCATCTTTGATTTCATTGAGATTTAGCTGTTTTCATTGATTCATATCGAATTGTATTTTTTCCTTGGCCTAACTTCGCTTTGATAGTGCTTGAGATTGAACATTGTAGACCACATAATTGCGAGATTGAACATTGCAATATCACATAACTGTATTTGTTAGTCAAGTGTTCATATTTGGATATGATTCTTGTTTAGGTTTTTTTTTTTTGGTAAAATTCTTGTTTAGGTTTGTCAAGTGTTCTTGATGTTTGAAACCTAATTGCTTTCATATACATCGGAGAAGATTCTCTTTGAATTGAAGAGAATGAAAATTGCTCTGTGCTTGTCTCAATGCTCTTATTATATACTAGTTGCCAAAGATTCTTGTGCAAATATGGTTTAAAACTTGGTAAAATTTGCAGTGAAGGAGGATTCTTTAACGCCGTTATGACCTTCCCGCAAAATTACCCGAATAGCCCACCAACGGTGAGGTTTACTTCAGATATGTGGCATCCTAATGGTTAGTTTGTCTCTTATTGGTTTCATTGGAAAAAAAGGATTCAAAGGAATATTGAATCAAAGACATTGTTCTCATTGTTTCCCATTGTTCTCAGTCTTTTGCTTGAATGGTTTTTCCTTTATGTCAAGCAGTTTATTCTGATGGCCGTGTTTGCATATCTATACTTCATCCTCCCGGTGATGATCCAAGCGGTTATGAGCTTGCAAGCGAGCGCTGGACCCCTGTTCATACAGTATGTATTAATGAATTGAGATTGTTAATCTTTTGTCTGCGTAACGTTTTGCTTCAGAGTGTTAGATAGAGTTTCCATACATCACTCTCTCTCAAGAAATCTCTCAGTGCATTTTTCATGTCTCTCTGATTCTCAAATTGTGCTGTTTCAGGTAGAAAGTATTGTGTTGAGTATTATATCGATGCTTTCTGGTCCCAACGATGAGTCTCCAGCAAATGTTGAAGCTGCTGTGAGTATTTCAATCGCTTAGCTGTCATCAGATTTACTGCGTAAATGGTTTTGCAATCAGGAGCAGTTCTTGCTCATGAGCTTTTGTGTTTTCTCTCGTGTAGAAAGAGTGGCGAGAGAAGAGAGACGAGTTCAAGAAGAAAGTGAGCCGCTGTGTCAGAAAGTCTCAAGAAATGTTGTGATCAACTTCAAAACTTCACATCTCTGAGATCTCTGGAGCTTCATCAAAGTTCTTCTTCATATTCCTTATCTGAAAACCCTTCAAAACAGTCCAAACTCAACTTGTTATCAGGCCGTGCCTATGGGTATAGAGAAGAAAACATTGGCCTACGGGCCCGATTTCTAATAAATTCAATTTTTAAAGGATCTATTTGATTAATTATTAGCTTTTAATTTGTGTTGATTAAAACGTAAGTCATACTCTAGTTTGGTTGGTGTTAACCAAAAGTAAGTCTTACTCATTGGACAATGAGTTTGTTGAAAGTACATCTCTTAAGATCATTAGTATGTTTCCCCAGATCTTCAAGAAATGAATGAATTAAGTTATTAATGATAAATGATTTGACTGGTTCAAAATGAAATAATTACGTTAGCTTTTAGGCTACAAATGTTTTTTTTATAAAAAAAAAAGATCACAATGATATTATTGAAACACTACGAAAATTACAAAAACCTAATTACACAAACATCTTTCTCTCCCTTATGGCTAGAAGTTTGACGTGTGATTGTAATACGTTTTGCGACTCTATGTTAGAATCCTATGTTCAGTATCGTATACTTAAATATAATTATCTGCATTTACAATTTGTAAATGGTCTCTTAAAATCACACTAAAATGTTGCTGTTTAATTTCATTTGAAGGTAAACACTATTCTAAGATTCTAACATATAGATGTAAGAGTAAACGCAAAAGGAAAACAATCTAGGATCCGAGATTTTAACTAGTTTTGCACGTTTGCATGTATACATTTGTCTTCTATCAAAATATAGATGTCGATTGTTTCAAATAGAATTTGCGTCAATGTGAGTCCACGTCATGTAATTATCTCCTTGCAGGATTTCTTTTTTTTTCTTTATCCTTCATGATAGATAAGAATAGGCGACAAAAGGAAAAATTAGCTTGGATGCTGTATTGCTGTAGAACTGTTAAAAGACTGAAATTTGGAAGAAAAAAAAATAGAGAGCTGCAAAAGTAATGAAAAAATGTATCAACAATATATGTCTTCATAATGCGAAAATTGCCATGTCAGATTCCTGTTAGGTCAAACGTTGTCGTGTCGTGAGGAGTTGACGTCATTTTCTATTTTGTTATTTCCGCATTTCGTGTTTTTGAAGTCTCTTCCTTTCTAAAAATTATTCATCTTTAATTAAATCGAATAGATAGAATTTAATTAAATCGAAAAAAAATCTTCAATTTCAATATTTGGTAGATGAAGTTCAGACACCAGCAGGGACTATAAGTAGACGATCTCTCGGTGTCTTCTTCTTCTTCTCATCAGATCAGAAGGTTTGGTTTAGGTTTCTCTCTTAATTCTTGTTTCCTCGAAAGACTTCTGCTAATTCATCTTCATCTACTTCCTCAAAATTCCCAATCTCCTCTTTTGCAAGTTTCATTTTTTATTGTTTTGTTGGGTTCAATTTCAATTTTCGATTTATTGTGATGCGTTTCTAAAAACCCAGGGGTTGAGATCTCAGCAATGGCGGCGACAAGTGAGAAACAGAACAGCTCAAAGCCTCCACCTTCGCCTTCTCCTCTTCGCAATTCCAAGTTTTGTCAGGTGAACATTTTTACTCTTTTTGAAGGTTTCACGTCGATTTTGGTATTTACCCATTTGAGATTAAGATACGATCGTGATCGTGATTGTTCATGCCCTCCTCGAATCTCGTTTTCTCAGTTGAAAATCTGCCGTTAAACCCAGAAAAACCAGTGAAGTTACACCTTGAATCCCGTTTTCTGATCCGTGATTCATGATGGTTGTTCTCCATTTGCATTGATTAGTTTGGTGAAATCGAACTTTGGTTGTGTCACAAGGATCTTATGTAATTGCTTGATGATCTCTTTGGCATTTGTAATGAAGATCCTTGAAATCGAATCCTGGTTATGTCACTTAGATCTGACCTTTATCACAATCCTGTGTAAAGATTCTACATTGTGAGAGAAGTTTTGTATCATTGTAGTTTATCGAGAATTTTACAGAATCAGATCTTGCGGTTTCTGATGTTCGTTTCTTGAGTATAAAGGTGCTTACTTTATTGTTGTATGTATAGTCCAATATGAGGATCTTGATTTCTGGAGGAGCTGGATTCATCGGCTCTCACTTGGTGGATAAGCTGATGGAAAATGAAAAGAACGAGGTCTGTATACTTTGTACGCTCAAAATAGAATTGAGATGTTTTATGTTCCCAAATTTTTCAATGTTCAACTTCTCTCCAGGTTATCGTTGCTGATAATTATTTCACCGGATCAAAAGAAAACCTCAAGAAGTGGATCGGTCACCCGAGATTTGAGCTTATTCGTCATGGTATGAGATCGAGACTCTCAGTTTGTAGTTAAAGGGTTCTTGTTTATGGCAACGAGATTCATTATCGTAACTTTCATTTGGTTTTGGGAATATATATAGATGTTACGGAGCCTTTGTTGATCGAAGTTGATCAGATTTACCATCTTGCTTGTCCTGCCTCTCCTATCTTCTACAAGTACAACCCTGTTAAGGTTTGTGCCCAAAAAAAAATGATGTTCTTCTTATATCAACTTAGCGTAACCAGAAGCATTAGTTTTTTTCTGATGTATGATCTGTTTCTGCAGACAATCAAGACCAATGTGATTGGTACACTGAACATGCTCGGTCTTGCCAAGCGAGTTGGAGCAAGGTTCGGCACAGATTCCACTTCCAATTCCTTGTTAAAGATGGTCATTTTCTGCAACTAACACATTTGTTCTTCTCTAAACAGAATTTTGCTCACCTCAACCTCGGAAGTGTATGGAGATCCTCTCATCCACCCTCAACCTGAAAGCTACTGGGGAAATGTCAACCCAATTGGTAAGTTTCATTTTCTTCTTCATCTTATCATGACATCTCAGTTGTTACAGCTTTTTGTTAAACTAACCTGTTTGCTATTATATAAAAAGGGGTCCGGAGTTGCTATGACGAAGGCAAGCGTGTAGCTGAGACCTTGATGTTTGACTACCACAGGCAACATGGCATTGGTCAGTTTTTGTTTCCTCAAACTCAGACGCATCACGTTTTCTGTTGAATTGTGGTTGTGATTGTGTCCATTCGCTTTTCTTTATTTTTTGTGTGTGTGTGTAGAAATCCGCATAGCTAGAATCTTCAACACGTATGGTCCTAGAATGAACATCGATGATGGGCGTGTGGTGAGCAACTTCATTGCTCAAGCACTCCGAGGTGAGGCATTGACAGTTCAGAAACCGGGGACACAGACACGGAGTTTCTGTTATGTCTCAGACATGGTGGATGGACTTATCCGTCTCATGGAAGGCGATGATACTGGCCCTATCAACATCGGTAACCCAGGTCTGCCTTTTTCATTCCAACATTTACCTTAAACACCATATATACTATGTTGCAGATTCCAGTTTTTGATTCTGTTTTTTTTTTTCCGGTTTATGCAATATATAGAAAGTAGAAACTTAGTGCTTATGCTTATGTCTTGGTTTGGTTTGGAAAGGTGAATTTATGCTTATGTCTGATTTTTTTTCAGGTGAATTTACAATGGTGGAACTGGCAGAGACGGTTAAGGAGGTTAGAGTTGGTTTTCTCTAAGACGTTGAGACAAGTCCTGAGTTTAACTCGTGTTTTTGGTTCTTAATGCAGCTTATTAACCCGAGCATAGAGATAAAGATGGTGGAGAATACACCGGACGATCCAAGACAGAGAAAACCAGACATTAGCAAGGCTAAAGAAGTTTTGGGTTGGGAGCCAAAGGTGAAGCTCAGAGAAGGACTTCCTCTCATGGAAGAAGATTTCCGACTAAGGCTTAACGTCCCCAAAAACTAAAGGGAACGCAACCGCACAGGAAAACGCAGACGCGTTTTTGGTTTTACGAGAGTTGTCAGCTTTATGAGTTACATGGTGCTTATACTACAAAGTGGTGGTTTGGTTTCATGGGTTATTGATATTACTTTTGTTCGTAGAGAAATAAGAGCATGTACACCTGAATATAATAATATTTTTTTTTGGTTTTAGTTTTTTTTTATTTAATTCGAAAATTATAATTTTCGACCAATCAGAATGTTTCATTTCGGGATGATACCGTCTCTTCAGGTTCGTCGGGATGATACTGTCTCTTTAAAATTAAGCTCTTTTGTCTTAAAAACTGTATCATGAACCTCTACATGTTTTAAGTTGGAAAAGGGTTTTTTTTTTTAAATATGAGAAAGTACTGTTTTTATTTTCTTCAATATACATTGTGGTATGGTTATTGTTTTGCGGCGTTCTGGAATATTCTGACGTTTCTTTCGACCCATAAGAGATTTGTGTTCTAGATGTGTTTGGAACGTATATTTCCTATAGGCTATTATTTCATGAAAGCAATTTTGTTTATATAATTTGTCTTTTTCTTTATCAAGAAGAGATTATTAATATACACTAATTAACTTCAAAATAAGAAAAAAGGGGGTCAAAAGGAAACTGTGGCGAGATTGCTAGATATATCCATTTTAAAAACTAGATTTTCCAACAAATGCTGAATATATCTAGATTCTAAACGCCAAACAAAAATATGATTGAAAATGAGAAAATGGAAAATTTCCTTTTTTCCCTTTTCAGTTTTGCAAAATTTCCTTTTTCGAAATATGAGAATGTGACAATATAAATACGCATCATATTGCTCCACAGATCTCAACACTCATTCATTCTCCACAGTTTCAGTATTCCATAGTATCAACATACGTAATAGAATCAACGTTATCAAACCCTAAATCAGAACAACAAGATCGATGTCAGGTAACCGCAAAGAAGACGGGGGGATTTTCTTCGATCCGAGTGATAAAGAACTCATAGAACATTATCTAGATCACAAGTTGAAAGGTATAAAGGGTGCAAACGACATCATAGTGGACAAGGACGTTTACGCCAAGGCACCATGGTTGCTAGACCATAACAACCATCCTCTTTTCATGACGGACGTGTGGTACTACTTCACGACAAGAACTCAAATCTCCGAGAAGAAGATCGGTCGTGGTAAGAACTCGAAGCGGAGGATCACCGGCGGAGACAACGATGGCTGTGGGAGTTGGAAGCCAAACACGACAGAAGATATCATCGACAAAGAAACAAGGAAGATCATTGGGACAAAGAAAACCCTAACTTTTACTAAAAGCAAGAAAACTAAGAAGCAGCAAAAGACAGGAGAGGGTACTTCTTGTGCTATTGTTCCGGGAAGCGACAGCAGCTGGATTATGACAGAGTATATGCTTCCCGAGGAAGCTAACAAGTTTCAAGAACTGGTCCTGTGCAAGATTCACAAGGTTCCCAAGATAAACAGGTCCAAGAAGAAGGACGATCGTCATAGGCCGAGAGAAGAAGGAGACGGGGGGGTTTTCTTCGATCCGAGTGACAAAGAACTCCTAGAACACTATCTAAAGCGCAAGTTGAAAGGTAAAAGTAAAACGCGTGAAAAAGACATCATAGTGGACAAGGACGTTTACGCCAAGGAACCATGGTTGCTAGACCATAACAACAATCCTCTTTTCATGACGGACGTGTGGTACTACTTCACGACAAGAACTCAAATCTCCGAGAAGAAGATCGGTCGTGGTAAGAACTCGAAGCGGAGGATCACCGGAGACAACGATGGAGGTGGGAGTTGGAAGCCAAACGCGACAGAAAATATCATCGACAAAGAAACAAGGAAGATTATCGGGACAAAGAAAACCCTAACTTTTACTAAAAGCAAGAACAAGAAGAAAAAGCAAAAGACAGGAGACGGTACTTCTTGTGCTATTGTTCCAGGCAGCGACAGCAGCTGGATTATGACAGAGTATATGCTTCCCGAAGATAAAAACAAGTTTCAACAACTGGTTCTGTGCAAGATTCACATGATAAACAAGTTCGAGAATATGGACGATCATCATGAGCCGAGTGAAGAAGGAAACATGGCTCATCAAGTTGATGCACACGCAACGACCGGGACGGTTCCAGAGAGACCATTAGAGAAGGATGCACAAGCTGGAGCCACAAGCAAGTTTACAGAGGATTGGTTTTTTTATGTGATGAAACAACCAACAATAGAAGATTGGATGTTGGCTTGATCTCGTGGACGAAGATAGAAGCAAGGTATTAGAAGATTCGGAAGCGTTGATTTGATACCAGGCGACCCTATATAACATTGTAGGGATGGATATAGATCAACTTCTAAATCTTGATAGAGAAACTGAAGAATGAAAGAAAGAAACATGAGGTCTATTGTAGTAAGATCTTTTTAGTTAATCCTGCTCAATTAAAAGTTATCTTTAATAGCTCTGGCAATTACGTACTCATTTTTTTTTTGAACAGAATTTTGTACTCATTTTCTTATATCAAATAATTGCCTAGTCAGTTTTCTCATATGTCATATGTGTTTGACTTCTTCTTCCTATTTTTTTATTTACCTTTTGCTCTCCGTAACACCATGATTAAGAGAGTACGTAATACTTTTTTTTGACTCTGGTCCAGGAAAAAAGTGTTTAGGAACTTAATTTGCCCACAAATAAGAATCAGAAAACAGAGTAAGGATATGAGCACGCTACCAAAGGGTTTATAGACTTTGATTAGTTGCTTGGAGCAGAAGCTACCTCTACCGTCTATATTGGAAGGAGACTGTCTGCTTCGAAATTCTGTTTTTAAATCATTAATGGATGTCTCTATTTTGCAGTTCAGTTTACTAATATTTCTATAAAATTCGAGATTTATTGACACCTCTATCAAATTAAAGAAGCCATAATCGAAAATTGATAAAGGAAAAACATAATCAAAGTCTTTGCTTTTCAGTACTCTGTTTACTGTTTCTTTTTCTTCTTCTTTTTGTTAAACGTCTTTGTTATTAATATCGTCATTAGGGTTAACAATATTTTAATAGTTACACTAAAATTATATTTGTCTGATAATATAAAAGAACAGAAATAAATATATAAAAGTACAGTATGACTTTGGTCATGGCTTTCCTTTTTTTTGTCGTCGGTCATGGCTTTTCTAAAGGTTTATGTATTCAAAAAAAAGAAAAAGAAAAAAAGAATATGTGCATGAGGAAAGAATATAACCCTAAAAGTAATTGCTTCTCTTTCAAGTAATAACCCTAAATCCTCACTCTCTTGTTTTAGGCACTACTTTCGACCGTCCTTATCTCATCGTAGCGATTGATAAGACAATCATCGTTTTCCCAAATAAATTCCTCCTCGTCTGAGAGCGAAATGAGTTCTCTATCTGTGGAGATCTTAGCTTAAGCTTCGACATCAAAATAACTCAATCAATAAATAAACGAATGCACACTCCGTATGTTCTGGAACATGATGTAAGGTTGATCCTTAATGGCCTTATTAGCTCTTGGCAAGTTTGTACACGTTTTAAGAGGATAAATGTGAAGAAGAAGGGAGTCATGAAGATATTTTCGAAAAAATAAAAGATATGAAATATATTAAGATTAATATTTCATAAGGGAAAAATTTGGAAGTTTGTTAGTCTTCGAGATTGAAGGAAGCACAAATATGGATCAGATAAAAGAAAAGAAGTTATTTGTATATATTGTTAAAAAAAAAAAAAAAATCGGAATAAGGAAACTCTTAAATGGTTGAAAACGAAAAAAGGAAAATCCAGCCACGTCGCCAAATACATTTCCTTTTCGGAAACGTATTAATCTGACCAAATTGTGTTGTAGCTAGGAAAACAAATTAAAAACCCTATAAATACGCATCATTCTTCCACAAATCTCAACAATTATCTTTCCGAAGAATCAACGTACAATAATGGCAAACAGCGATCCCTTCTCAATGTCGACAATGCTCAATTCTTTACAACAAGAACAACTCCGTTTTTCCACCGCAACGGAGCCTACGAATCCGACGGTTGCTCCTCCTCCTCCACCACCACGTGGCATCCCCATGGCCATTCCTCCTCCGGGATTCACCCAACCTTGCGGAACTCTTCAAGAACTCGAGATGCGTTTGCAATGGATGTTCAACTTAATGACTAACAACGAAGAAGACGATGATAATGCGCCTCCGTTTAAAGAGATGATCTCGAAGCTAGACAGAAGAGAGCTTCAGGGTATGGCGTCTCTGCTGACGTCAGACTCCGACTACTTCTTGGAGATCGCAAGAAACAATAACGGCTCTAACCGCCTGCAGATACTCCTCGGGAAATCAGATGACGTGGACGCCTTCATCTCCGCCGCTATCTTGCGCCGCTTCCTCCACGTCATGACCGACAAGAACGCCCTCTACGTGGCGATACGTGGATTAAGAGTTTTCGACGAGGAGAACAAAGAGTCATTCTACGAGCAAATTCTCCACCACGCGCTTCGGCTTGCGAGTCACCGATACGGCTGCATCTCGCTTAACAATATCAAAACCGACTTGGACCATCCTTACTACAGAGAGCAGCTGCTAGAGGTACTCGCGCAAAACGCACTGTGGCTAAGCAACGATGCTTCAGGGAACTTCGTGGTGCAACACTTGCTTAAACAGAATAACTTGCGTTGCACGAAAGACATCGCGATTAATCTATATGGCCATTGTGTTGATCTTTCTTTTAAGAAGTATGGAAGCTACATCGTGGAAAAGCTTCTGGAGAAGGAGGAGTCGATGGGTGTGGTGGTTTTGGAGCTTTTGAAGTGCGATGGAGACAGGTTGATGAGGCTGGCTAGGCATGAGTTTGGGAATTTCGTGGTGGGCAAGGCACTGAGAGTCACGCAGAAGGATATGAACAGGGCTCATCAGTTTAGGGCTTTGGTGAATAAGCTCGTGCCTTTTCTCCAATTCTTTCGTAGGTCTCGTGGAAGCAACATTGCAGCGATCTTGGAATCAGTTCTTTAAATTTTAGTATCTTAGCTTGTCTCAATCTAGTTGACGTAGTCTAGTCTAGTAGGAAAAAATAAGTAGTTGAATTGATTTTTGTACGAACGATCTGTTTTGATTCTAATAAATCAATCACAAACTTTTTTATTTTTTTTTGTTTTTGTTAAAGGGGCTTCATTTGCAGCCGTAGATTCGATTCTGATAGAATCTCAAATACCAGTTAACAATTACGAAATCTCAATTCTTTGCATAACAGTTACGAGATAGTCAAATTCTTTCTATAGAAAAACTGAGTTTCTTTGTATAATTGTATGATTTGAGAGGCAGTATGGTTTGGTTAATGAGTTGCAGACATTGCAATTGTATCTTCTTTCTAAGAGGACCCTAATAATGGTGCCAAAGATACTAAATTGATGGGAATCATTTCTGAGAAGTAAAAGCTGTTACTCCGATCGAAGGTTTCAGAATTCGTAAAATTTAAAGTGTCTTATCTCTTTGTTTGTTCTATTTTGCTTCAGTTTTCTGCTCATTCTTCATTGCATTCCTCTGTTTTCTTGTGTGATTTGATTATTTCTCTTAGACTCTCGGATTTAAGGTTTCAGATCGTCAAATTTCCGGTCACGCGGGAGGCATTAAACTAGGGGGGCAGATTAACATAATCAATGGGTGCACATATGATTTTTTGCTGACTTTTTATCAAAACTTAAAACAATTTTCTTTATAAATCAAAATTTCCCAAAAAAAGAGTGGGTGCACTTGCACCAATCGGTTATCAAATAAATTTCCCCCAAAAAAGTGGGTCTTATGTGTTGTTTAGGAGTGGAGCAAAAAAGATAGGAAATGGTCAGTTCAAAAAAATGATAGGAAATGGTTGTTTGATATTTGTTGGCATTAATTTAAGAGATTTCGTTTAATTTTTTTTTGGTCTTTTGTGGAGATAAAGAGTATCGACTATCGATATTTTTGTAGTTTAGTACAACTTGTTTTTTGACTTGTCAAACTTTATGTTCAGAAATTTAGACAATTAATAGAGATTCGTCTAAGATGTGTGTGGTTTTCTTCATTTGATAACAAGATAATATTATTTCAAGATCTGATTTCGGTCTGTGTTTGAAGATTTTGCTTGGTGGTGTTAGAGTTTGAACTGAACAGTGATTTGTGAATTCATTTTCTTCTGAATCATAGTTATCTTATAAACAACACTGTTTAGACAGTGGATGTTGTAGAGAATTATGTATGAGTTTTCCGCAGAAGAAAGGTTGAGAGAATAAGAATAGTGATTGTGTCGGAAAACATTTGTTTGTCCCCAAGTTTTGTTCTGATGGACAACATTGGCATGTGTTGGTGTTACGACTTTGATACAGTCCAATTTCCTAACCAACTCCCTTGAAACACCACCGTATGTAGATGACCATAACTAGGCCCTTCATGGACTCAAATTCTAATTTCGTCATAGTTTTGTCCGGACAAAACCGATCGTCATGTTGAAAGATGAGAGAATGTGATAGAAATAAATAAAAATCATTTTACTACTAAAACGACAGAAAAAAAAAAACTAAAATCATGCTTGTGCTCTCTTCCCATCTTTCCGGAGAATGAAAAAAAAAAAAATTTCCAAGGGAGATAATTAGTAAAATAAGTTTAACAAAACAGAAAGAAAACACAACAGCTTAATAAGTGACAAGTGTTTATGATGAGATGAAATACAATATGCTAATCTCAGATATATAATGTAGTTAACAATAATACTGTTGTAATAAGATCAGAAAGATGTATATCAAATTTGAGAGAAGACAAACAAATTGAGTCCAGAATTTGTAAATTGATATATTCAGCTTTGACCATTAATCCTATCAACCAGAAGAAACAAAATCATAAAGCAAAAAAAGAAAAGAAAAAGAAAATATTCCTCCTCCTCACGATAACACACACACATTGGACCCCAAGATCAATCCACAAAACAAACAAGAAAACTACAGCCCTAGATCTTTGAATAGAAATACAAGTGTAGATCAATCGACATATAATATCATCATCATCAACAAGCACAACCTGAGGCAGGAAGATCGTTAGTTTTCCGGTCACCGGAGGAATTCCGGAAAGTTCGGCTTCCAAACAACATGAAACCAATGGCATGACCGGCGAGGGCGGCGATAAACACGCCGGCGTTGAATGACATGACAGCGAGCATGACTAGATAAGCGAGGCCGGTACGGAGGGTGTACACGGCGGTTTGGACGAGTCCGGAGGCGGGACTAGCCGAATCTCCGGTGTTGCCACGGAGGAGAGAGGAGTGAGCAAGCCATTCGGTGAGGACGGCGAGGAAGAAGACAACGATGAGACAGAGAGCATACATGCCGGAGCTAGTCCCCGGCCAACCGGAGAAGAGAACCTCCGTGTTCTTGCCCCAAAAGAAAGTCATGTGCATCATCATCATCTTGTGATGTCCTCCTCCGTTCATGGATCCATTGTTCATCAAGGATGATGATGATGATGGTGGAGGCATGTCATGCATGTGATCATGATCCATGCTTTCTTTGTTCTTGGATCTCTTGTGTGTTATTTGGGAAGAGAATTAAATTGTTAGAAGAGAGTTGTTTGGTATTTGTTGGTATCTATAGGCATTTATTGAGATTTCATATTTTTCGATATTTGTTCCTTTTTTTGGATTTGTGTGGAGATAAGAGTAACAATATTATTGTAGTACAGTACAACTTGTTTTTTGACTTGTCAAACTTCGTGTCGTACAAAAAAGGGTGGGTATATTTAGAAAATCAAGAGAGAATTTTATTTACGAGAATAAAAAAAGAGATCTATGTACTCCTAAATTTATAATTGAATTAATTACTATATTATGTTCTCAAACTACAAGTAACGTTTAATAGTTTTTGCAGCCAAAAAAATTAAAAACACCATTCATTGAATTCTCCGAATATGCTTAACTCAGTTTTTATGATTCAGAGACAGAGTATAGTGTAAAGGTCCCATAATAGAGACCCGTGCGTATAAATGTGGACTTTCTATTAATGCATTGTAAACATTACGTTGACGAAACTCATTGAGGCGAACAATGACGTCTAAACACCGTTTTGGGGTTATTAGCATGAACTAATTTGCATTTTCGAGAAAGCTACTTTCTATTACTAGTACCTTTTAATATATTATGTATATTGAAATTATTAGTGAGCCTAGGATTTATCCATTATTAACTAATAAGTGTGATTATGATAAAAAGAAATCCAGGTTATTTTTACATCTTGCCTCACTTAGGTCCATCTTCTAATGGGCTTATCTTGAAAGAATTGTAAATTCAGTACTCTTTGTTTGAACTGTTTCTTTCTTTCTCAGCCCATAATATATATACCAATGTTTCTAAGGAAATCAAATCCCTACAGGCTTATTAGTTTGAAACCACCATACTCCATAGTTTATAATGAAAGAGATTTTCTTTTAAATATAACCATCGACATTATTACTTAAATATGTAAATTATCGTATATAAATGATGATTCGAAAAAACTAAAAAACGAAATCATACCATGGCGTATAAATATTATAAAAAAATGTTTTTGAAATTGGATAATTTCACGGTTTGTAACTTTTTATGATTCAAACATTCTACACACTTTAAATTTTGCTTAACAATTTATTATCTAACGGTAAAGCTAGAAACATGTTTCAAAGACCAATGCCTCAAGTCTCAAAGACAGTCAAAGTTTATAGATTTCCCCATCAATTTTTTTTTTTAACAGCAAACGATTTCCCCATCTTTGGATTTTACCTCTTCAAAATTTATCTTAGACTAAGATCTTTTGTTTTTTGACTTCGTCTCAACTAAATTTCTTTAAAGTACAAATTTTATACTCAGAATAAAAGCACTATTATCGCATTATTGTTGCAAAAATGTACATTGTACTACACACCAAACTTCAACCCGAAAAAAACCCCTTATATTACCCCACACGTACACTCAAGAACAAAACCCTCACATCTGATCAACTTAAGAATATCTCTAAACAATGAACGGCATGAGTGGATCTTCTCAGGCTGCACCGGCACCTTCACCGTCAGCCTTCTTCCAACATCGCCGCCGACATCACGGTGGCATGATGCACATGACTTTCTTTTGGGGAAAAAACACGGAGGTTCTATTCGACGGCTGGCCAGGGACCAGTCTGACCATGTATTGGGTTTGCCTCGCCACCATTTTCGTCTTATCCGCTGCCTCGGAGTGGTTTTCACGGTGTGGGTGCATGAAAGCCGGTCCGGCCAGCTTAGGCGGCGGGCTAGTCCAGACGGTGGTTTACACCGTGAGGGCTGGCTTGTCTTATTTGGTTATGTTGGCTGTGATGTCATTCAATGGAGGAGTCTTTTTGGCTGCAATGGCTGGTTTTGGATTAGGGTTTATGATTTTTGGAAGTAGGACTTTTAAGGACACTGGTAGTAATAACAATCACCCCGAGATTCAATCACATTGTTGATTTTTTTTTTTTTTTAGCGTCAGTTGTGATGTTTGTAGGCTCTATCGTTTTATTATTGTTTCCCTTGAAATAATTATCATGAAAATAAAAACACAAATTAATAAGATCTTGGAAGTTCTTTTATCATCCTCGTTTTGTTTTCTTGTTGTTGCTCTCTAATATTGTGTACGGTCAGGTAAGTTTAATCACAATGGTAGATATACGATGATTTGCATAATTATCTCTGTTTGGTGGATATGCATAACTTTATATTTTTTATTTGCTAAAGGGAACCGCATAATTACTTTCTCGATTTATATAGAAAATGATGTACAGTATTCCTAATTGATGATTTCAGAGTTTGAGGAAGATGTTGCGATTTTAAGGAGTAAGACTTGATGCCAGTAAGCCACTCTTTGAATGAACATTAATTAAATATTTCTTCCTCTATATTATCGATTTTCTAAGATTTGTTTGTTTTGATTTTATGAGAACCTAAATTTCAAAAATGTAGATTAAGCCGATATTTAGGGAAAACTGGTTTGAATATAATGTCACTGAGAAATATATATTGGTTTGGTCGATCGAGTCTCTTTTTAACTTCCACGTGTACATCAGAATCAGTTACACAATATTAACCATCCTCCCCATATCGAGATGATTATCCTTTCTAATATCTGTTATCCTCTGATTATGTGTTCTGCCTCAGAATAAAGAAAATATGTGTTCTGCTTCTGTGTTATCTTTTGTTTCATTTTAGGCTTTCAGCAAAAGGAAAATCCGGTATATCTACTTCACTGTAAACACATGACATTTCGTCCTCAATCTGAATCGTAGCACTCTTCGGAGATAATTCAATTTCGTTGTCGTTGGTCTCCTCCTCCACAGATCCGACTTAGGGCCCAACAAACTAAGGATTTAGACGCCAAAATATATTAACAAACTTAAGGGCATTATTTTGAAAAACAATTTGTTGTGGTTAGCTGTTGACCTTGTTTAAATGCCGTAAAGTTTCCATGTTCGAATCTTATACTTGATTTTTTTTTTATGATTATTCGAGAAAATATGTTTAGTAATGGGCCCAAAAAAAATTGTTTAATTTGTTTTCAGTCTAGGAACACTTTGGACCGAAACTTCCTCCTTCGTTACCTGAAATTTTGTTGTTATTAAAGACTATTTTGCTACTTCGTTAGAAATTTTATACTCCTTGCAAGATATATGATATACACCGACTGACCGACACAACCAATACCAAAACATTTAATAACACTTGCCCCCTTCGGAAAGGCTGCGGGCAAACCAACCAGTTAATTTCGTTTTCAATGAGTCTTGATTGTAACCAAAGAGATCCCACTTTTGAGCTATTAAAGCACTTTGACAATTCCAAGTGTGTCTCTGCTCCACCATCGTTAAAAATGCCAAAAGCTTCGTGAATTGTAACTTCTCCTCGACCTCAACTTCAGCACCAAAAGTTTTGGAGTATCATTTTAGTTTTACTAAGATAAGTTTCGTTGTAGCACGAAGATATGTGTTAAACCTAACATCCATATATAACTTGTCGGTCAGTCGGTGTAAGTAAACAAACAAACAAAATAAAAAGAGAAAATAGAAAGAGAAGTCACATGAGAAGAGTGGAGCAATGTACTATGTACACCGTCACTGGCTGAGAACAAATATGAGTAATGACAAAACGTGAGTGCACATGAACCTTATAAAGTGAAAGTACCTAGTCAAATGACACAATTTGCACATAACGATAAGTCGGCGGATTTAAGACCACCCACGAGGCCACGAGGCACGAGGAAGTCATATCTTTTCACATTTACAATATTACATCTATGATCTAAACTAATAGTTATTCCAGAAACCATGACTATAATTCTATTAGCGTAATCTGTTAAAAAGAGAATTAACCATACGAAGTAAATAGACGTAATAATCAAATAAAGTATATATTTTTTTTAATTACACTGCCGAGATGCATAATGCTTTTATTACAAGAAATCTTACATGAAAACAACCCATCCCCTTTATTACAATAGACATGCAATATATATGAACATATATATGCATACTTTATTGTTCTTTTATGACAAGAATTATTGATTTTACTTGAACCCCAGCTTCTGAAACTACCAATAATAAAAGAACAAATTGACAACCGATTAAAATCTATATATTTCCAATAAAAAAATCTTACTAGTTTTTGAAAGCTTTTTATTTTTATTTTATATTCTGACCCCACTATAAAATAATCAATCCGACGAGACACTACCTTTTAAAAACCTATAACTTCAGCAACCAAATAGCATGTGCCATTGTTCGATCAGTACGTCCATTCCTGTGGCAAATCCGCCGGTGAGTCTTGGTGGCTCTCGGCTAACGTCTTCGCCATGTACGGTGGTCCACTTTGTGCCCGAGTTGATGAACTACTGTTGTTACTTTTGTTGTTATTGTTCTTCATGGACACCAACAAAGCATCTACATGGTAAATAATTTCAAGAATTATCAATGAAAACCTTTCATCGGACGGGTAAAAATAACAGAATAGCAAGAATCAAAAACCAACATTAAACAACAAAAAAAATACTTCAAGCTATGTTTAGTTAATCATGTGTCTAATATAATGTAAGAACTAATTTATTTCGAGATGAGCAGATCCTTCGGTGATGGTTTTTCTCAAAACTCGACACTTTAATTAATCGCTTGGCTGAATCCAAAATTTAATTATTTGAAGTATGTAGTAGTATTTGCGAGATTTTTGAGAGATATTTGACTATTTTACTGTTTATATGTATAACTAATTGTTGTAAATCATACCTTTACTCAAAAGAAAAAAAAGAACAGAAAGTTTGATTTAGGGAAAAAGATAGGTGGGTGGGTATTGGTACCATGAAAAGGAGGGATATCAGAAGAGAATGTTGAAGGAACACCCAATTTGTCAAAGTGAACTTTCAAGGCTTCAACTACTCTTGCTGGTATTATTACTGTTGAACATCCTGCAACCAATATTTTTTCAGACACAAAAGTCAAAACCAAACCAAATCTACATCTAAAGCAAACTAAACCGATCTGGTACTTAATTCAGAATAATAAACTTCATAAAACTGTTTTGTACGACAAAAAAAATCTTAATCCCAACAGTACAATAAATAGCAAATTGTCACCACCTCCCACCAATATCTAAGCCACATCAAATCATATGATGCCAACAAAGAGAATAATATTTTTATCTAAAAAAAAAAACAAACGGTAGATGATATTTGTTGACAAACCCACCGACTCCTAAATTGGGTAACGGTTAAGAGTAGTTGACAATGAAATATTCAAAAAATCTTAATGTTGAGATGTTATGTATAATTCTTTGTGTCTAACGAACATGAGAACAATCTTGGTTAGTGTTTACATATGTGGTTTTGAGATGTTTAAGTGTCTATGTAATTCCGAATTCGTATACAATACTGTATAATGTATTTAGAAAGGAACAAAGTTTACACTATGTGGTTCGGTTATAGCCTTGGGTATTGTCAATGATCGAACGGTGACAAAAGAAAGAATCACAAGATGAATAAAATATCTTAGGTTATCTTAGATTATAATCAACTTATTGGATGAAACAAGTGGGGTCTTAAGAAAAAAAAAATATTAATCATGATTTTTGAACCTAAATGGTTTATTTTTGTTGAAAGTGAAAGGTAGTAACAACGGGGACCCAAAAAGTTGAGGCAAGATTCTAATTTAGGAGGTCATATCTGTCAATCTTATAGCCACACAAAATCTTAAAAGAAAAAAAAAAGAATAATTGGTGAGAAGGAATCTTTGGAATCTACTCAGTCAAACAATCTAATAATGTATGAGAAAGATTCATATTATATATTTCTCCAAAATAATTGAGTTTTGAGCTGAGATGATTGATACTCAAACCGGGCAAACTAACCCAACCTAATCTTAACTCAACTAAAAACCATGATTAACCATTCCAATAAAAACTATTCATGTCACAACCTTTTAATATTTCTAAAACTTTCATTTTGAGTAAATGATAAGAATGGAATTTGTGCAACATCAAAAGTCGATTCTGCAACTATGCAAGTGTTTGGTATATGAAATCTTATCCATCTTGTCGACCACAGGAAAAAAAATTACATTCTAAATCTAATAGAACATGTATATAGAAGTCGAACAACTTAATCTAAAAGATGAAATCTAATATTTTCAGTGGTTTATATGCTCTCATCAGGAGAAAGTTTATGAAATTATTTAGGACATATCTTCATAGTTAAATTATAATTATATACAAGATTCCCACTTTGTCAACACCCCACAAAAAAAAACAAAGTGGGATCTCTAAGTATATATTGATAATACTTTAGAAGAAACGTCATCCTATCTTAATTTTTTTGTCCTTTATAATACGTACCCTTTATGAAAACCATTAAAAAAAAACCCCCACAAAAGCAAAGTTTTATGACGGAAGAAAGAAGAGAAAGAGTAATAATCATGATGAAATTAAAATGAAGAAAGAAGAGAAATTAAGAGTAATAATCATGATGAAATTAAAATGAAATTACTACTAGTATTATTGGCTCTAACCTGGTTTCTTGCGTGACTCCACAACAGTACCATGACTACGTGGCAAGAACACTCCGGTTCCACCCGACCCGGTTTTCGAACCCGACCCGTCAACGAACACCGCTTTAACGCCCGACCTTGTCCTCTGCTGGTGGTGGTAGTTCCTTGCTTTGAGTCTCAATACGTCATCGTTTCGTTGCTTCTCTTTCTCCATCTTGATTTTGTTGAACTATATATAGAAATCAACATCGAACTTTTTTATTTTAAAATAGAATGCATCCTTGCAAAAAAAAAAAAAAAAATAGAATGCATCCGACGGTGGTAACGAGAACTCTGTTTTCATCAAAGTTCATTCTCGACTGTCCGTTTTATAACCGATAATTTTTTTTTAAAAAAAGATTCTGAGTAATTTTAATAAATAATAAAACATTGAGCTCACGTTAGCTTGAACAGATCGGATCTGGTCATCGATTAAAGCTTGTTTTGATTGAAAAGGGATCATCAACGGCTTCGTGTCCACCGACGTCGCCGGAGTTAGCGGCGGCGATGGTTCTCGGGAAGGACCGATTGGGCTGCTGTAACCGGAAGCGAATGGTGACCAAAGAGTCGATTGCGGCGAGCCAGAGCCACCAAGACAAGACTGAATCAAAAAGAGAACAAAAAGGATTGGTGAGAGAGTGAATAGAAGAGAGAGAATCGAATCTGATGGGTTTAACAGAAAAAGTTTGTACCTTTTGATGCGTTTCATCGTCTTGAAGCATGTAGTTAGTCATCTGGCGAGTCAACTCGGCGACGTACTCGTCTTCGTCTTGGTTTTGTGGCTTTGGTGAATCCGGATCTTCGGATAAGGAGTCGGGTCGGAGCGAGCTTGTGCGTGGAGTGAAGAAAGTTGGTATTGTGTGCTCGGAAAAAGAGCTAAAGAAATCTATGTCTTGTAGTTCAGTAGATTCCATTCGATTATTCTTGTCTACAAAAAAAAAAAAAAACAGAGTAAAATCTTTGGATAGATACAGAGTACAGACAGAACAAAACAAATTTAACGAGAGAGAGAGACTAGAACAGAGAGAAACAGAGGAAAGCAAGCACAGAGAGAAGAGAGAGAAGTTTTTGATGAGATTTATAAAGAAGGAAGAAGAAGACCGTACAGATGGACAGCTTTAGCTCAAGGCGTTACGACAATTTCACCTGCCAATTGTTGCGAGTTGCGATTCACCAGAGATTAAGGATTAAGGATTAAGGAAAGGCTATACATATATATACATATATATTGACATCGGAAGGCTATATAGAAAGAAAATATACATACACTTATATTTTTCCATTTTTACATTTTTTTAACATATGAATGCATTTATTTATGATGAACCTTTTTTAGGTGAATAATTTTAACAACCTTTCTTAAAACAATATGCATTCAACCTAAATTGATTTCTCTACCATTTATAGTTTAAATAACTAATAGTATATTAGTATGTGTTGATTTTGGAAAGTAACAATGTTATTTAGTCATGACCTGTATGTATTAACCTTTTTTTTTGTAGTTGTTAATTTTGTCTAAAAATAGTTTAAAATCACGTTGTTTTCGTTTTTTCTACCGATTTACTATGTTGCATTTTGTCATTTCATCTTGTTAATAAAGTTTGTTGTCTCTTGATTCTATGTGTTGGTTATTTTGTTATCTAAATATTAATTCACACCTATACAAAATTTGGCTTTTTGTTGTCTATATATATATATATATTTATTTATACATAATTATACTTATAAAGAGGTATAATTAATTGATTTTTTTTTCTAGAAGTTTTACATAAATTTATTTATGCTTTAGAAAATCTAAATAGCAAAAAGTTGTCTATGTACATAAGCAACTAGAGTTGTTTAAAATGATACACTAGATAAAAAAGTACATTTCCATTAAAACAAATCAATTATCAAATCGTACGTAGCTAAAATCTTTCTCATGTAGTATTTATTAAAGTGTTTGCTTTATTAGCCACTCTATTAACTAATATATAATTTTCACACTAAAAACTCACACTTATATAATAGGGAATGATATAAATACATGAAAACTACAACAATATAGGACGATAGATTAAACCAACCTATAAATAAGAACATTGTTTTCTAAAAAAATTAAACAAACTTTCAAAAAATAATTTTGCAATATAACTTCTAGTATAAGTTATATGTCGGGTATGCCTCGAATTCTGGGTAGCCAGAGCCGGCCTTGAGCCCAAGCAAACCAAGCATGGGCTTGCGGCCCTTATATTTACATGAAAATTTTTAAAGATAAAACAGTCCATTTTTTGAAAAAATATATAAAACAGTCAATTTTTTGTTCTATAGCTTGCGGCCCATGCAAAAAATATGCAGTTCAGGGCCGGCTCTGGTGGTTTAATGGCTGTAATGCCACAAATTGAAAAAAAAAATATGCTGTGCCATAAACAAATCTACATGCCATAATATATATAGAATGCCCAATTTACCTTTAATGAAAGTTTTTGTGGCATTTTTGAATTTGGTAAAAAAATAATTGATTTTATTAAAATTAATAATTTAAAACGAAAATTAATAATAAAAAAATTTTCATGCTCTTCTTCTTCGTCGGTGGATTCTGAAAACAAGCAAATTTCATTTTCGCCGTTGAATCCTCGCCTCTTCCTTTTCTTCTTCATCTTCTGCAATCAGTTTCTTATTTTATCTCCTTTCTCCACCACCATTGTTGAAGTTTTAAAATCCAGTTAGGTTTTTATTTACAGATTTGAGGATTTCAAAATTTAGGGATTTGATTTGCCAAAATTGTTTGTTCTAGATGCAAATCGGGTTGGTATGTGACGATTATGTCTTTGCATAGATAATTTTTCGAATTCAGTTGTTAAATCATGGTGATTTTTAGGTAGATTATAATTAGAACCCGAGTTCATCACCCAAATCTGCAGAAAAAGGACAACCTGGTACAAATGGTACAACTAAAGAGATAAGAGGACAATTAGTACAACTGGTACAACTATGAGATAGAGGACAACTGGTACAATAGGTATAACTAAGACAACTTAAATAATTGTTGATTGAAAATTCTTTTATTATAATTGTGAATCGGGTTGGTAACCCCGTTTTATCTGACGATTAGTATGGATAATTTTTTTAATATAGTTGTTGAATCATAGTGGTTCTTAGGTAAATTATAATTATATATGAGTTCATCAGCAAATCTGCAGAGAGGGACAACTAGTACAATTATGTACAATTATGTACAACTATGTACAAAAATTGACAATGCACATAGGAGAACATGTTACCTTGACGGATAACTAGACACTTAAGAAAGTTAATCTAGTCTAGAGGATTTCATTTTTGGCCGAAAATATTTTCCGGATGGAAATAAACAAGGTATAACTGGACACATATATACAACTATATGTAATTCTTTCATTAGAAAATAATAATGATAAAACTATAAATATAAAAAGCAAACATCCACTTAAAAAATGTAGAAAAGTCGTAAAGTATAAGGAATAAAATTAAAAAGATGGATAACATAAAATTATCATTTTTCTAATATATATTATTGGTTTCACATCAAACATCCCTTCTGATACAAAGAAGACTTTGATAATGTTAACAATCTTATGATGGAAAAGAGCCAAAATTATGATTTTGCATAAATTGTAGTATGAAAATGTTATAAATGGACTACAATAATCGAAAATTATGTGGACAACTACAAAATAATAATTTATATCAAGGGACAACTGAAAAAAATGCTAAAATCGCCAAATGATAACTATGAAGAATTTTGAACAACTGGACAACTAGGTACAACTATGTAAAAAATTGACGGCACATGTGGTACTTTGACTGCGCACATGTTCTTTTTTGTCGACGCACATGTGTATTTTTATTAATTTTTAATAGATTTTAATTATAATTTTAAATTACATAATTATATCAGTTGTACCAGTTGTACCAGTTGTATTTCACACGTGCGTCTACAACAGACAACATAGTTGTACCTAGTTGTCCAGTTGTCCAAAATTTGTAATAGTTGTCCTTTCATCGATTTTGTAGTTTTTTCAGTTGTCCTTCGACAGAAATTATTATATTCTAGTTGTCCACAAGAATTTCGAACATTATATAACAGTCCCAAGGGTTTTACGTTATTATTTTTCTATTTTTATATTTTTGCATAGACGCTTGCATAAGATGGATAACATTATCAAAGACTTTCTTATAATATAAGGGCTATTTCAAATGAAACCAAAAAAAATTGATGGAAAAGATGCAAATATATGATTTTGCATAATTTGTGTTATGAAAACCTTGTAAATGAACTGCAATAGTCGAAAATCATGTGGACAACTACAAAATAATAATTTATATTTAAGGACAACTGGAAAAATGCTAAAATCGTCAAAGGACAACTATGAAGCATTTTGGACAACCGGACAATTGGGTACAACTATGTATAAAATTGACGGCGCACGTGGTATTTTGACTGCCCACATGTCTATTTTTGTCGGGGCACGTGTTCTCTAGCTTTGTGGATGTGAATAAGCAAAAGACAACTGGACAAGTAATGACAACTTTATACAACTTCGTGGATGTGAATAGTTATACTTAGTTGTCCATAGTTGTACTTAGTTGTACCATAGAAGTTAGATCATGAAACTTCTATATTTGTACTTAATTATGATTTTGCATAAATTTTAGTTTGAAAATATTGTAAATAGACTTCAGTAGTCGAAAGTAATGTGGACAACTACAAAAAAATAATTTATATTAAGGAACAACTGGAAAAAATGTATTAACACTACAATTAAAATATAGTTGTTCCGAGTTGCACCTAGTTGTCCTAGAAAAATTCATAAGGTAATTGTACCTAGTTGCACTTAGTTGCTCTGGAGAAATTCATTACGTAATTGCACCAAGTTGCACCTAGTTGTCCTGAAGAAATTAAAAATATTAATGCAAGAAATCAAATATTTCCAAAATACAAATAACTCCAAAATAAATAGTAATGCAAGAAATCAAAGAAATCAAAGAAATTCAAAAAATTCAAAATATAAATAACTCCAAAATAAATAGTAATGCAAGAAATCTAAGAAATCCAAAATACAAATAACTTCAAAATACTCTTGTACACTCTAAGACTAAAATAAGTTGAATCGTTCATTTAGCTGTACCTTGTTTTTAAATTAAATAGTTACAGATAATTGTATATACATGTCTAACTATACATTGTTTATCCTTATTGGAAAAGATTTTCTCTGCTAAAATGAATAATGTGGATATCCAGAATGAATATTTCTCAGCTAAAATGTAATTTTTTTAGCTAAAATAAAATCTTTTCGGATAAAACAAACCCGAAAACATACACAAATTAAGTTTACATGCTACTTTTGCTCTGAAACCACTTATCTAATTTATTATCCATTTTTCGTCTTTCAGCAACGTTTTTTGGAGAATAAAGCCCATTTTTTTATTTTTGTTTTGGTGTAATTCAGCAGTAAGACAAACAATTCTTGTATATTATCAGAAATACTCCACTTAGTTTTATTTATGTGTGCAATTCATTCTCCATATAAATTATCTACTCCAAAGCTGTTTAGTTTCATATATCGCAATATTCTTACATACAGTATTTTATCTACTAATATCGAATAAGCTATCTATTCCAAATTTGAGGTATTAAATGATATAAAATCTATTGAATTGTTTGTGTGGCTGATGTTCATTTCTTGAAAATATAATAAAAATTTTCCAATTAACAATTATTCAAGCTGTCTTAGTACTATCCATTTGTACTAGTTATCATGTATCTCACAGTTGTACTAGTTATATTAGTTGTTCTCTTATCTCTTAGTTGTACCATTCGTATCAGTTGTCATTCTCTACAGATTTGGTGATGAACTCAGGTATAATTATAATTTACCTAAGAATCACTATGATTCAACAACTATATTTAAGAAATTATCCATGCAAATACCTAATCGTCACATAAAACTAGATTACCAACCCGATTTGCAATTATAATAAAAGTATTTTCAATCAGCAATTATTTAAGTTGTCTTAGTTATATCTATTTGTACCAGTTGTCCTCTATCTCATAGTTGTACCAGTTGTACTAGTTGTCCTATACTGCAGATTTGGTGATGAACTCGGGTTTTATTCCAATCTTCCTAAAAATCACTACGATTCAACAACTATATTCGATAAATTACCTATGAAAAAACCTAATTGTCACATAAATCTGGGTTACTAACCCGATTTGCATAATGAACAAACAATTTTGGTAAATTAATCCCTAAATTGTGAAATCTCTAAATCTCCAAATAAAAACATAATTGGGTTTTGAAGTTTTAACAATGGTGGTGAGGAGAGGGGATAAAGATAAGAAACTGATTGCAGAGGATGAAGAGGAAAAGTTTGGATGATAAAGATGTAATTTTGATGATTTTTGGAATTTTTAGTCGAAATAACGATGATGAAGATGAGTAGAAAAAAAAAATTAAAGATAATTAAAAAAAAGAATTAAAAAAAGAAAAAAATTGCTGGAGAAGAGAGAGAAAATTTAGATAATTAATAAATAAAAATAAAATATGTTATTGGGTGGGTCTCAAAAAAAGTGGATATGACCTTGGTTTTATTGTAATTATTAGAGATAACAAAGAGAAGGAAGAACTTTCCACAGTTTTCCTTATTAAAAAAAAATCGAAATAAAATTCATTTTAGAATTATGGTGTTTGAGCCAACTTTTTTTTGGATTATGGCATTTTAGCCTCTCGCTCGGCTCTGGTAGCTAAAACATAAAATATGCTTCTTCTTCTTCTAACTTCTAGTTGTTTTTTTCCTAGTTAATAAAGAGCTGCTAACCATCACCAGATCAAAACTTGATTGACTGACATCCCATTACCAACCATTATTGTACATATTATTTTTATTTTTATTATGACTGAAAAGATTAAAGTAATATACGATTTTATATCTTAAACCAGTTTTTTAAACTATTTGTAAATGTGGACATTTCGCTCTGAAGAAATTTGAATAGAAAAGGAAACTCAATTTATCATATACAGTACATGTTTCCTAGCTAGCCATACGGAGTTACATATAATATATTGCCATATTGGTTTAGGTGATTTATATGGAATTAATGTGGTTTAAGTCAACAAATGCTGCTTGAGATGAGTGATTTGTAGACGAACATATAAGTTTCTTCTTTCTTTGCGATGTTTGGAAGTAACAAATATTAGAGGGAAGGTTAGGTTAAACCTTTTATGATCTGACCAAACATATAGTATGCACACTTTTTCTTGTCATGACCGTGTAATTGCTTTTAGAATTTACATAAGAAATCAATTTATTTGAATGTGCAACGTTTTAGTCACCGATAATTGTTTTTATTACAAAATAGTAGGTCTAATATCCACTAACCGTATTATATATAGGACTTTTGAGTATGGGATAATCAAACTTCTAACGCTAACATTTCTGATGATATTTTTTAAAATGTTCTTTGGCACAGGCCGCACAGCCGTAGGAGAACACATGAATTGTGTACACTTGCATGTAGATATTGGAGACGAGAAGTTCAATGTAGTTAATTAGATTTTAATTATCGATCAATGAAAACTATCAACAATGTCGTTGTAGTATAGTGGTAAGTATTCCCGCCTGTCACGCGGGTGACCCGGGTTCGATCCCCGGCAACGGCGCATTTTTGTTTTCTGTTCTTCCAACAAAATCTCGTCGTTTTATTTACATGCCATTGCAGGGGACTCGGCGTTTTACATCGCTTGAGACGGCACGCAATCCAAATCTCTCTGAAGTCAATCATCGACGCCGTCGAACTTCCCCGGCACGATGCTCATCAATATCGCCGCAAATTTCTAAAATCTAATAATGCAACTTCTCCCATTACGGAGGCGAGTGGGGCTTAGTCGCGTGACTTTACTGCGATGATTCAGTGAACAGAGCATGTGCATCTAACTTAAAGAACACGAAATCTAATCTAATCTAAATCAAGTGTCTTGTTGGTCAAACTTTTTTTTCCAGATTCAAGGCATTGACAATGAACCACTTCTTCTCTGTCTTAAGCGATTAAATTTTTGTGTTTCGAGATTCGATCTATCACTTTCCATGGCCAGAGAAAACTCATTGATGAGCTTCTCATTCAGTTTTAGATATCTCTGTCACTTTACTCTCCTCCTCTCTCTCCTCTCCTTCGTCTCTTTTCTCTTCAGACACAACACAACACTCTGTTCTTGTCCGTACGACATCAGTCCAAACGCACACACATTCGATCACCGCCATAGCAACGAAACCATCGATCTGCTTCGATTCTCTTCCGCTTGGAACCATTTAACTTTCTTCCCGTCTAAACCGAAGAAAGTTCTCAAGATCGCTGTGGTGGTTAAGAAATGGCCGCAGAAATCGCAAGCTGGTGGGCTCGAGCGACACGCGCTTACGCTGCACCTCGCTCTAGCTAATCGCGGTCACGAGGTTCATGTTTTCACCGCCGCTTCTCCGTCGTTCCCTGAATATCGACTGAAAAATCTCCGGTTTCATCTCTCTGAGCCAACCGCCGGTGGATATCTCGATCAAGCTTCTGTGTCGCAAGAGCTTCAGGTAAACAGAGAATTTACCTGTACCGCGTCGCTGGTTTGGACGCCGCTACTTTGCGTTTTCCCTAGTTTGCGTTTACGTGCAAATTTATCTCAGATTTAAATCTATTCAAATTTAAAACTCCAAGGCTACAATACCTTTTGTTAGTCTGTAAATCTTTAACTAATTAATGACTATAGTCAATTACTACTACTTTTTCAAATTTAAAATAAGCGTTTTCGATATATTTCATAACCAAATTAACTATATTCTATTTTAGTATAGTAAAAATCATTTGATTCTTGAAATTTTGTTATTTTTTGTTAGGTTTTATTAAATGTATATTAAAATTATTTTTTAGCTTTATTTCAGTGTCATAAAAAACTTTTATATTAATATAACTGTTGCGGATTGACAAAAAAAAAATTATGAGCCCAATGAAGGTACTAATACTTTAGTCAACCGCTGACCAACGACTTTATTAAAGCAAAAAGGCTCATAATTAGTCAATACAGTTAGTTAGTGTGTCTGGTGGATTAAAGTCAAAAGAATAGAAATGA